TCCTTGGTCCACAATGAGAAAAGGCCCTCGCATCCTTAACACCCTATTGCTATCTCTATGGTTGTCAGGTACAGCCTGAAAGAGGGCATTCAGAGACAGAATGCCGAGACAAAAAAGATGACAAAACAATAGAAGCCTAAGAGGTGAGAGCAGAGGGAGATGACTAGAAGATCCTAGCCCATGGCAACATTTAGTGCTTGGCAGAGCCTTCTGCCTGATTTGGCAAGGCTGACCAAGGTTTAAGTGTAGACACAAATGGAATTTCAAGACGGAAAAAAAAGGGGGATACTATATAACACTTATTTTTAAAAAGTCATTTTTATCTCAAAATATATGCCAAAAGCAAAATACAGGAAAAATATTCAAGGTGTATTTCATCCAACCAATTAAAATTCACTGATAAGTAGAAAAAAATCTTACAAATCAGGGTAATATCCCCAAAACAATTTTACTAAGATCATATTCCTAGTTTGAGAATTCTTCTGACTTCTTATTTATAGAAAGGGAAACCAAATGTCAGAGGATGAGAAAATTCACTTTGTAAAAGTAACCATTAACAAGGCCCCTATTATTTAATAGAAGCATTCTAAGAACCCAATTCTCAACTGTATTGCCTGTTTTTAATGGGTACATTAAAGCATAGGAATACTAAATCCATGTCTTGTAAAATATCCACTTGAACTTGCATTCCAAAACAAAATAAAAATTTGGAACTCTTTGGAATTTCTTTTCAACTAATAATAATAACTGAGAGTTGATTAATTATCTTCAACATTTTCCATTTAAAGCAATTCATTAAAGAAATGTAATTAAAAAAATCTTCCAGAATAATTCAGATTTTTTCATATAATTATACCTGTTCCATGGTCTGATTTATAGGAGTTAAGGTTTACAATCTACAAGTAGCTGTGGTTTAAAGTTTCACCATTTGCAGGGGTTTATCCCAGATGAGACAATAACACCTTCTTGACAAGTAATCACAGTTAAGGACTCATTTAAAGTTATTGACAAGTTGGCTATGCGACTTTAAGTGATAAAAAATATAATGAAACCAATTTTACCATAGGGTAATTGATATAAACAACAGTTAAGTTCCTATAGCATCTCAATGTTACAATGAAATGACACTGAGCAAAACGATGTTGTTCAAGGACATGCTGTACAGTATACAAAATGGTAAATAGGCTAAGTAAAAATGCATTAGTGGTTAAGAATTTTTATCCTCCATAATTACTACTAATCAAAATATTTTGCATCTTCCAATTAGATCTAGAAGTGGTTGTCAGGGTTTATTTCTTGAGAAGAGAATGAATCAAGTCCTCATCAAGTCACCCTTATTTATTACAAAGGTGTAACTATGCAAGTTTATGAAAAGAACTGGGAGTACAGTATCTGTCAAAGGAAACTACTCAGTACCAAGCCTAAATACTCATTATTTGATCATTCACCTAAGAGGTAGACTTAGATACGTAACTCACTGTCTAACTACATGAAGATGTGTAAAATGATACACAAACTACAACTTCAAGTGGGAAAACTGACTTCAGAAATAACAGAACCACCATGACATTTTCAAAGGGAGAAGTGACAAGGAGTAACTTCTTGAATATAAGACAACAGGTTGCGGGAGTACCTTACTAAGATTTTGAGATGAAGTATGACTCAACACTGTAACTCCAAAGGAAGATCAATGAAATACACAGGATGGACATATAAAACGTAAAGATCACAAAAAGGGAAACAAGAAAAACAACATGTGAGAAACAATGAAGGAATCAGTACAGTAAAAACTCAGACGTCAGGCCGGTTCTCCCACAGCATGCCCCAAACACGAGAACTTAGCGGATACATCCCCAGGAAGGTCCAGCGCAGTACTACCTAGTGCACGCAAGAACTGTCCTGCTGGCTGCAAGCCTCAGCTAGCAGGTGCCTACTGTCCTCCCCTCTGTGCTTGCTTTCAGCAAATTCATATGCTGAGCTGACTGAACCCTTATCTTCTTCCATCTGGAAGGACAGAAAAGCAACAAGTCTCGTATTACAGACAATACTCTCACTGTATATAGGGTTAGAATCAAAACAGTAAGTTGGGGTCCACAATCCGAGAGGCACAAATGAATGCTCGCACACCACTACATTCATTTACTGTCACAGAAGAGAGCTAACAGCAGCTTCTTAAGGGGCACACAGAAAAGCACACGGAACAAAGCCATGATTTTCCAGTGCACAAAGTCACATTGAAAATGGGTTTCCTTCAATAAAATTAAATTTCTTCTATTAAACAAATTCCTTGCCACCACCATTTAGGGTTCTCATTGCAGAAGTTTACCCCATTTTGGACTTCTCATGCTCCCTTCTCAGAAGACTTCTCTACTCAACTGGACTTCAGCGGAGTAGACAGGTCACATGGCCTTTCAAATGTTAACATGCAGGTGAAGGGGGCTTAACTTGATTTGACAAAATTAGCCAAACCTTTAATTTGTATATATTTTAGTGTTAACTAATTTGAACAAATTTCTATTCTTTACTTTTTCTGTATTTGTATTACAGATCTTGCAGGGGTGTCCAACCTTTTGGCGTCTCTGGCCACAATGGAAGAAGGGTTGTCTTGGGCCACACATTAAATACACACACACTAATGAAAACTGATAAGCAAAAAAAAAGGTTTTAAGTAAATTCATGATTTTGTGTTGGGCCACATTCATAGCCATCCTGGGCCACGTGTGGGCCTGCAGGCTGTGGGCTGGACACCCATGTAAGGAGTATGTGTCCACAGCCAAGCTAATTGTAACTGTTCTTGAATTACTTTTTAAAAAAAGTTCTCATTGAATAAAACAACAGAATTTTCCTTATTTCTCTGTATTTTCTCAGTCTTAGGACTAATAATTATTTCTATAAAAATACTATGGTGAATTTCTTACCTATATAAAAAATAAAGTAGTTGAATTCTTTGATTTTAAGAGTACAATAAGTTTATGTAAAGATAGTTTTTTTTTTTTTTTACAATAGCTTTGCCTATAATACTGGGGAGAGGAAAATATTTTATTCAAAAGAAAATTGCTAATAGTTTTGTGTTAATGGTTCTTAAGAGGTACTATCCTGAGTAAAGATCTGAAAGCTCTTTAAAATACTTGATATCTGCATAATTTTCCTCTCTGGAAATAATTAGGCTACCGTGGATAACACCCAGGAATACTGTTCAGTGCAGTTCAAAACCAAGATGCAGCATTCAGAATTCACAGGATGCTCCAGCAGGCAGATATATGCAGGCTATTGCTCATCATGCCCATCCAGTGGTCGCTCACTGCTCATCTAAGCAACTGTTATTTCTGCCTGGCCTTTGGTTGAGCACAGTATTTCTTCTTTTTGTTTTTCTCTGATGCTGATAGTAAGTAAGTAAATCACAGTACGTAAAATGATCATCTGACAGGTGAATAACCTGGAGGCTCAGAGAGGTGAACTGATTTGATAGAACACATAGGGAGCACTGCCAAGGGTGGCAACAGTATTCAGGCCCGTTGTTTCCCCAGGAGGGCTCTTCTTACTTTTTTAGAACATCTGATTGGAGACTGACTTGCAGCAAAGTCTACTTGACCAATACATTCTGCTATCACTGTGTTCTTTCACAGACGAATGTCAAGCTTACTATTTTTGTTACATCATTATGGGGCTTGAGATCTCTAGTTTATGATCTTACCTCATTCTTTTAGGGGCTTGATTTAAGCCAATATGATTTATAAAAATATGATTTAAAAAGTTATCTTCACTTGACAAAAGAGTTTGCCAGAGTGTTCTTTATATAATGAGCTCTCCTACTGCCTGTGAGTTAAATAATTACATGTTCAACAATGTGATGATTACCCACTCTTTTCAGAAAGGCACATACAGATAAAATATGATATATATATTCGGCTCAACCAAAGTGAAGTTTGTTTTGGTTTTAATTCCTGTTTTAAACATAAGTTTTAGTTGGCTACCACTTAAACACTCATTTGTATGTTCATCTACAATTATTACACCTTTGTAATTCAAAGTAGAATATTTCAAAATCTTGATGGTAATAAAATCAAAAGGTCTGGTAAAACTTTAGAACAGCTCAGAATTATGAACTCACAGAGTTATTTAATAAGAAGTTATTTAAGTGGTGCTTTGTCAAAGCTATTTATTTGGTCAAGTAAATGTAGAGATTAAAAACCTTGCAGATAAAAAAGAATTATGTGTGAATTAAGAATCCACAAAATACTGATAGAATGAGAAATTAAAGAGTGCCAGAACTAAAATATTTTAGTTATATTACTTTTTTTCTTCAAACCAAACTGGAGTCAAAATTAATATTATACAGTTTTGGTATCTTAGTATCAACAGTTTTAGGATTTAAGCTCTCCTTGTCTTCCATCAAAAGACATCTCTACACTACTGGGGGAGTTTTTTTGTGGTAAATGAGAGAATGGATCTGTCTGTGGAGATAAAGGGATATATAAGAGATATAAAATTTATGTTCAATTTATAGATGCACTAAACAGTAGCAAGGATATGAAATGCTTCAGCAGTCATTACAATGTACAAAGACAAATATGCACATGAATTTACAATACAGATTAAGGCAAAATAAAAAATGGGCAATTCTCATTTTCAAGTAACGGAAACTTAAAACTTTAGATTTTATGATGAATTTCAGTAGCTTAAATTAGTCAACATGCAGGAACATTCTTAAATATGAATACGACAAGCAGAAGCATAAGAATTATGCTACAAAAGGTAGTTAAGGTGGAAAATATATAACAAGGTATAGATGTCCTGTTTTTATGCTGAAGTTTCATCTCAATGAAGAAACGGATTTTTTATTTTTAGGTTTAAACATACATATTAATAAAGGTCAAATTAGAGACAGAGCTGTGCTAACCAAAAATGCTCCACTCTTAATTCATGCCTCTGCCCATCTTTTAAATAGTTTAATTGACCTTTAGCATGCAGAAGTTAACAAGGTTCTACTCCTACTCTACCTAAGTTTGCTCAGCTGATTCCTTGCCCTCGACAATGGCTGCAGTGCGATGAACTCGTCACTTAAAGCAACTGTGTTGGAGTACATCTATAAGTGGACAGAAAAGGGATGGGACACACAACAAGTCAGTGAGCTGTATTCATCACCTAAGAGACAGACACAGGACAAGCTTAGTAAAGACACATCTGTTCCTACAAGAGTAGGAAATCTTATACATGGTACATATACATGACCGACATTTGTAGGACTGCTGGCTTTCTTCACTCTTAACACCACATTGTTATTCAGGAGGAAAACAAGGTTCAAAATAAATGCTGATAACTCTTCTTTTGATATCATTTTTCTTGCTACTTTTGGTAAACAATGAAGTACCTAACAACTTTCTAATCATTTTTTCATCATTTGAACTCAGAGGTGAAAGTATAAGGCAGTGAAGGAATGATGTCACACATCGGATCTGAATGACCATATACTATCAAGGTGGGAAAAAAAAAAGAACAGAACAAGATTCCTGAGTGGAAATATAGACTTCCTCTGGATCAGACCACAGCAGAACACCTGTCAAGTCATTTAAAGTAAAATGGGGCAAAAAGGGAGATTATGTCAGCTTTCACACACAGACAAAATGATTGATTTTTAACCAATTTTAACCTATGGAAAAGAACTACAATATATATAAGTACTTTCAACCTTTTCTTGTCTAAGGGTCCCCTTAAGGTGTAAAACATTTCCTATAGATTCTTTAGAAGGAGGCTATCGAAAAGGTTATCAAGAAGTCTCTATGAAAACATATCATAATTTGCAAATGCACTGCTTATTATAGAATTTCTAAGGGTACATGTAAATAAATCCAATTATTTACTTTTATGAAGAGCAAAGCTTTCAAAGTGATGCATTAACATATTTTGGTGGAATGTAACTTTATATCGGCCAAGAAGGGGAGACCAACGTGTGTTCTTTATAAAGGTATAGAAAATGTATTAAAATAGTATTCTGTCATCGAAAATATTTATCTCTTAAGGTTAAAAAAGAGGTACACATTTCTGATATATATTTAAGAATTACATATTGAAGAATAGAAGTTTTCTCACACTGATATATATATATATACATAGACAGAGTAATCAGATTATGCAATTTTTTTAGCCTAACTTGAAGATCAGTATCACAGAGCAACATCCTACCATAATTACATTTTTACTAAGGACTTACTACATACAGGGCCAGGATTGGGTGTTTTATATTCATTATGTCTAAAAATCATGTAAGATAGTAATCATTCTGATTTTACAGAGGAGGAAATTGAGCCTTAGGAAAATTACTTGATTAAAGACATATATTTTATAAATTGTTAAAATAGTATCTGAATTAAGTTTGTCAGACTTCAGAGGCCTATGATGATTCAGTGGGGTTAAAATGTGTATCGGTTAGGACTGAGTTACCAAAGCAAATACAGGCTAAAGGAATGTTGACATGATCAACTGAAATTAAAATCAATGCATCATTTAGGAAGCCTAACTTAAATCACTACTTAGGTACCACAATTCTATTTGTAGAATATGTAACTAATTTTCCAAAATTTAAACAAAATTTGCTTGGCAGGTAAGGTATCAAACATGCGGGAAAAATTCTCAAACTCAGCATAAGTAAATGATAATAAACTCACTGCTTACTAGGGCATAAAAGTTAATTAGAATGTATTCTTGAGAATACATATCCAATGCTAAGACAGTTCAAGACAGATTAAGATAATACTTCTAGCTCATGTACAAGTCAACTATACAGAGAAAGTGCATTCAACTACATAGCTACCACTTCTTGAGCAAATAAGTGTTTGGGCTTATTTTATTCAATCCTCATTTCAAAGATAATGAAATAGGCATTTCCATCACAATTTTACCCAGGGAGGTTTTGAGAGAGACTTCATCAGAGAACTACCAAGTGGCAGGCATAACTTTCAGATTAGGGAACTGTCATATCAGGCCCGAAAGACCATATTCTTAAACACTATGCAACATATTGTTACTATTTTTTGTAGTTTAATACTTATTAATAAATATTTGGTCAGAGAATATATTTTGTAAAAATCCATTCTTTAAAAATTATTTAGGTTAAAGAACTTATTTTATACTTTTTTGTAAAACAATGTAACCTGAAAGAGTATTACTCAAATTCTAATGTTTCTAAAGACATGAATATATATCTTTATTACATATGTCTGATAGAATGCTGTGACAATATTATTTAAAAGTTATTTACTATTATTATCTGGTCATGACAGTTCTACCCTTAAAAATATATAATCTTTATATATTACCCAATGTAATATATAAAAATTATAATTTGTCAGGAGTCATACAATTAATAAAAATAACATAAAAATATCAGATACAACAATATTTAGACTGCAAAATGCTTAATACAGAAATATTGAATTTCCTATTTTCTAATATAAAAAATGATACTGACAGCTATTCACAGTTAAAATCCCTACGTAAAAGATTCTGTATATAAAAGTGGTTACCTGAGCCTTTTCAGTATTTGTAGGATGGAGCTGTCTGTCAAATACTTTCTTCACAATATCAAGAAACAGGCATGTTACAACCATGAGGATTATGGCAAACCAAACAGAACCACTTGATAGGAGCTGAAAAAACACAAAGTACATATTCTGGGAGCCCGAAAATGGCCTGCAAAGAAAGAAAGAAAGTGGGCTTAATAAAAGTAGAAATTGACAAGACAGTTTCTTAAATCAAGACATCATGTAAATCCATGATATCTGAAAGTTACAATTTTAATCTGGAATACAAATTTGGGATAATGCTCAAAATTTGAAATCAGTAGTTAATTGAATAATTAATAAAACAACATAGACTTTAATTGTTAAAAATAAAATTCAATTGCCCTGGCTGGGTAACTCAGCTGGTGGAGTGTCAACACGTTATGCCAAGGTTGCGGGTTCCATCGCTGTCAGGGCACATGCCAGAGTTAACCAAAGAATGTGACAGATCGTAAGGGAACGACAGATCCATGATTCTCTGTTTCTCCCCCTCACCTCACTCACCACACCTCCCTCCCTTCTTCTCTTTCTAAAATCAATTAAAAAAAATTACAGTGTAGTCACTCACCAGAGAATCCCTCCGTAAAACAAAGAAAATACAAAATAGAATATAATAGATCCCCAGGTAACAAAATGGTTGATCCAGGTCCAAAAATGAGTCTCCAAAGCCATCTAAAAAAATTAAAAACAAAAAACAAAAAACAAAAACAAAACCCTTGTAACAGAATGTCTTTAACCTCTAAGATGAAAATCACAAATGAATTAATTATAAGTGACTAATGTTCCTATGGCAAAGTCTCTAAGAAGATGAATATTAATGCAAGGATCATAGTAGAAAACTGAATAATTAAAGTTTATAATACTTTTCTTCTCTGAGGAAACAGCATTGAAATTTCATGACTACTTTATTCTCAACTCTATTGTCCAAAACAACTTGTACTGTCTTGTATTATATAAAGAGAAGCAAAATTTCAGAGATGATTACTGTGGAATTAACCTTTATTTAACCATAAAAATCATGGAGGTTTTTCAAATAATGAACTTAAGAATTTTGACAAAAATGAAAATAAAGAACAATCAGTGAAATTATGACAAAAAAGGAAAAGGGAAGGGATTTATCTATGACTAAAGAAATTTATGAATTATACAGACACAAAATTTATCCACGTGTCTAATTTCTGTATCATACCTTTACTGTAACTGTAATAACCATGACCGTGAAAACCAAGGTGCCAAATGTCCAGTTTCCAAACATCTAGACAGAAAGAACAAGCCATTATTACATTATGTGTCACCATGATGCTACGTAAGATATAAGGCAAAATGTAACTTTACTTTTAACTAAAAACCACTTGTACTACTTAAGCCAGTTGCATTTCAAATCCGTGACTAGATTAGTAAAGTCAGGGGAGTGTAAGAAGAAACAACATAAGCATTATCATGAGTAGTATTGTTATCCGTTGCGTATCATCAGACTGAAAACCCAATGTGGGTTTGGAATTGTGTGGCACAGACTGTTTTCACTTAGAATGATAGAGTAACTATTTTATTCCTGTCACACAGTAAAAATTATAACAAAACCCTGTTCGATCACAATTACTGAAATGGCCAAAAAGTTATTTATTTTTTTCCGTACATGGCTCTCATAGTGCTTAGCTGCCTTTAACGTCATTCAAAACAATTTGTTAGACTGTCTTGTGACAGCTGTTATCAGTGTGCACTTAAAATCATAGAAACTGGTGAATTTCTGTGCAGCCATTTTAATACTGAAGATGGAAGAAAATACACATTTTCAGCATATTATGCTTTATTATTTCAAGAAAGGTAAGAGCACAATTGAAACACACACACAAAAAAGGATTTGTGCAGTGTATGAAGAAAGTGCTATGCCTGATCAAATGTATCTAAAGTGTTTTGCAAAGTTTTTGGTACTAATGATATTTTGGCCAAATAATTCTTTGCTGTGGGGTTATCTTGTGCAACACCCCTGGATGTTAGAAGCATCCCTGGCCTCTACCCACTAGAAGCCAATAGCAGGAGATAGCTGACATACTCAAATATCCAAATCAATAACGTTATTGGTCAAAATGAAAAATGTCTTTTATTTTACAGACTTTTTGGTCAATCCAATATTTTCTGAAACTATTCCAACCAGAAGTTATAGTGGATAACTTGCCATTGTATTTCTGGACACAGCAAAGACAGAGCAGGAAAAACATTAACACACAAAACCAATACCTAAAGGAGAGATAATGGCTGACAGAAATACTCCTTAAAGGATTTCTTGTAAAAATGCTCCGCATGTTAGTCAGAAAACATTTCCCTGGACTTTACAGCAAAAACTTACACAGTTTATTAAAAATACAGAATCCCCAAAGAATGTCTGGATTCAAGTTCCACAAATAAGAGCACAACCAGAAGTTTATGTTAATTTAGTTTTAAAGTAGTCATATTCTTAACACATTGGTTTGAAAATTATTTAAAAGGCTGTTTTATTATCACAAATTTCCAACAGCATTTATGAGGGGGGAACCAAAAAACCCCCAGCATTTATTTATAAAACATTGTATACTGACTTACATTTTTAAACTTCAGTCACCTTGAAAGTACCCTCCATTTGATATAATACATCTATCAAGACTTTTTCCCACTGCTCAAAACAGTTTTGAACTCATTGATTTTGATGCCTTTTAATGCTTCTGCCATTTTTGTTTCACCTCTTCCATATTGGCAAAACACTTCCCTTTGGTGACTTTTTTATCCAGGGAATCATAAAAAAGTCACTCGGGGCGAGACTGGGTGAAAAGAAAGGGTGGAGCACGTGGATCAATTTTTTTTGCCAAAAACTGCTGAACACTCAGCACGGTGTGGGCAGGTGTGCTCATAAACCACCCTTCATGAAATACGCAATTGAGTCTTCAAACAAATTCGCTGAAGCTGAATGCAACCTCACAACACCAGCTAGTAGATAGATACAGATGGGATTCTAGGATATTCACCTAGCGGGAGAAGTCTGTACTATAGGGTGCCTGCCCTCCAGAAGATAATTCTGGTTTTCGGGGTGGCCCTTTGTATTTGACAAATCACTTAATTTCTCTGTATCTCACTTTTTTAATTTGTAAAATAGAGAAAAACCTTATAGGTTTTTATAAGAATTAGGGTATATAAAAAGGACAGTGTGCCTAATAACAATCAATAAACAACAGTTATCAATAACAAAATACCAATTAATATTCTTTTATTTCAGGGTATTTGAGGAGTCTGTCAAAAGAATGAAAAAGTCATATGGAATCCCTCCCTTTTCCTACTTTAGTCATCTCTAGAAATGAACTAGAAATACTGAAAATTGATGGGTCTCACTCGACTGAGCTCTTGGAGGAGTGCCAGTCTCTTCCTTCAGGGCCATGTGGGCAGATCTGAGATGCAGCGGGGAAAGCACCTGGATGTGGTAACACCTGCACACATGTCTATCCCTCAGTATCTGGTTTTACTGGACCGAGACTGGGGTTAGCTACGTGCAATCTTTCTCAGAAGTAGAGGTTAGTTAGGGCTCCCTCTTGCATTCAAAGCCCCACAGGGAGCTGTAGAAAACACATTCACGTGGACTTTTTTTTTTTTTGTAAATTTAGCAAGAGTAATGTATTCAACAGCAATTAATCAGCACCATCGTCTCTTTCCATTCTGACTTCCCTTTGAGTTAGTGGTGGGAGGGGCAGAGGGCATTTTGGAGAACTGGCTAAAGAGAAGTTGAGTTGGGCTTACTACATTGGCTTGGGTTAAGTGGGACCTATTTATGTAACTCATAGTTATTTCCATGTATGTGTAAGCTTGTATTTATAGTTTTGTATTTTTTTTCCTTAACAGAGGGCCTGCCAGAATGTGTAAGGTTTAGACTATACTAAACCCAGTTCTGCCCTTCCTCAAAAGAGACAGATGCTCAAAACAATTTCTAACATTATCTGCCTGTCTTCTCTATAACTTCTTCTAACTTAATTTGTTACTTAATTATTTAATTAAGCCAAACTTGTATTCCAAATTAAAAACCTTCATTGGTATATTCAATAAATAGTAACTGAGTATCTACTGGGTTGGCCAAAAAGTATATTCAGTTTTTTTCCCTAAAATAAAAGATACATTTTTCCTTTTCACCAATAACATACTGATTTGGACTATTTTGAGTATGTTGGCTATCTCCTGCTATTGGCTTCGAGCGGGTAGAGGCCAGGGTGCTGCTAAACATTTTCCAATGTGTAAGACAGCCTGGTCTTGCCTGCAAAGTTTCTTTTGAGAAATCAGCTGAGAGTCTTCTGAGAACTCCTTTGTAGGTAACTCTTTTCTTTTCTCTTGGTGCTTCAAAGATTCTTTAAAATGCCAAAGGTTAAAGATAATGTGTTTTGGTGTGGTCCAGTTTGGGTACAACTTGTTTGTTGTTCCCAATGCTTCCTGGACTTGTATGTCTATTTCCTTCACCAAATTAGGGAAGTTTTCTTTCACTACTTTTTCAAAGAAGTTTTCAATCTATTGGTCTTCCTCTTCTCTTTCTGGCATCCCTATGATTTGGATGTTGGTATGTTTGGTGGAGATTTCCCAGAGGCTCCTTACACTATCCTCACTTTTTTAAATTCCTTTTTCTTCTTGCTCTTCTGGTTGAATGCTTATTTCTTCTCTATGTTCCAAATTGTTGATTTGAATCCCAGCTTCATCTACGCCACTGTTAGTTCCCACTAGATTTTTCTTTATTTTACTTAGTGTAACCTTCATTTCTTCCTGGGTCTTTTTTATGTTGTTGCTGTACTCAATGAGTTCTTTGGATATCCTGATCACCAATGTTTTGAACCCTGCATCTGACAGGTTGGTTATCTGTTTCATTCAGTTCTTTCTCTGGATTTTTGTTCTGTTCTTTCATCTGGGCTGTAATTTCTTTGTCTCCTCAATCTTGCAGCCTCTCTGTGTTTGTTTCTGTGTGTTAGGTAGAGCTGCTTTGGCTACTGTCTTAGTAGAAAAGGAACCTGTAAATTGTGTGGGTCAGAGCTTTAGGTAATCACCAGGATTGGGGAACCTTCTTTACCGCTTTATGGTTCTTTCTTGGGGAAGGGCTTGGAGAGGGTACAATGCAGCAGCCTGGCTTCTGGAGGTGTGCCTGGTACTTGCTCTGTTTCCAGTTACTTCACTTATTCCCCCTGTATGACTGGCGCTCTTCCAGCTGTTGCCCAGAGGGGGTGGTTTTGCATATGTTCTAGGTCCTTGTAAGCCCTTTAAACAGAGTCTCCTGAAAACCCAGCAGTTTCTTCCACCGCCCAACCACCACTGGTTTTTACAGCCAGAAATTATGGGGATTTATCTTCTTGGCACTGGTATCTGCAGCTGTGCAGTATGGCCTGGGGCCGGACTGCTGGTTCTCGAGGTATCCCTCCCGATTTTTATCCATCACACATCAATGTGAGACCATCTGTTCTGCTGCCCCTGCCTTGCCATGCCACACTGCATCTCTGCGTCTCTGCCCCTCCTACCCTTCTGGATGAATGTGGCTTCTTTAAATCCTTGGCTGTCAGACTTCCATACAACTCAATTTTCTGATGGTTCTGGGTGTTATTTGTTTTGAGGTATAGTTATAACTCCCTCTGTGGTTCCATGAGGAGGTCAAGCATGTTTACCTACGCCTCCATCTTGACCAGAAATCTGTACAGATCCTTCTTTGTGTTTCAGTTTTGTTTTTACCTTTTTGGAAATAATAAAGAATACACTGAAAATGTTTCATATTTTCTTCCATATTCAATATTAAAATGGCTGCACAAAAATTTACCAATTTTGATGTGCTTTTATAAATGTACGCTGATAAGACAACTGTCACAATACAATCTAACAAATTGCTTTGAATGATGTTAAAGACAACTAAGCACGACGAGAGCCACTGCATGGAAATAACTAAATGAACTTTTGGACCACCCAATTTATATGCCAATTACTATTCTAGGACTTGAGATAAGTAAGATAAATAAGATAAAGTTGCTACCCTCCCTCATGGAGCTTATACCTAGTGGGGACAGATAACCAAACAGAGCTAGAAATATATACCTTGAGGTAGAGATTAGTGCTATGAAGAAAAATAAACATAGAGTAAACGTCCAGGAAGTGATAAAAGGTGAGAGAGATGGCATTATACAGGAGTGAGTAGAAAGGCCTTCTTAGGCCAGTGATGTTTCAGCAGATCTGAATGGATATGTCACTAATGATTTTGAGGAGATCCTTGTATATGTGATCATATTTTCATTTTTATAAGATCACGTGGGCTGCTGTGTAGAGAACAGACAGCAGGAAGGGGAACAACAGGAGCAGGAGCAACGAGGAGCTAGTTGTCATGATCCAGAAAAGAAATGATGACGATGATTGGAACTGTGTGGAGAAGGACAGAAGTGTAAACACTTAGGATATGTGTAACATCAGAACCAATGTAACTGCACATGGGCTGTGAGAAAAGGGAAATCAAGGATAACCACCAGGACTTCTGCCTGAGCAGTTGGGTAAAAGGTGGTAGCATTTATTAGAATAAGGAGAAATGGAAAGGAACCAGGTTTGCAAAAGACAAAAAAAACAAACCAACCCTGTTTTAGTTATATTAAATTTGAGATTCCTATGGGACTAAGTGGAGAAGGCAGTTACTTTTTTTTTAAGATTTTATTTATTTATTTTTAGAGAGGGAAGGGAGGGAGAAAGAGAGAGAGAGAGAAACATCAATGTGCGGTTGCTGGGGGCCGTGGCCTGCAACCCAGGCATGTGCCCTGACTGGGAATCAAACCTGCGACACTTTAGTTCGCAGCCCTCGCTCAATCCACTGAGCTACGCCAGCCAGGGTGAAGGCAGTTACTTATTTAAATCTGAGGATATAGGCAGCGATGTACATTTGGGAGTTTTCAGCATATAAGCAGTATTTAAACCATAAGAAGAGTGAGTCCACCATGTGTACAGATAAAGAAAAGATGACGTAGCACCGAGCCCTAGGCCACTGCTCCATTTGAAGCAGTGGTTCTCAAAGTGAGTGATTTTGCCTCCTGAGGCAAGTTTCTCAACCTCTTTGAGGTTAATTGTCAAACACACAAAAGTAACAGATGACATTTTCCACATCCATGGTTATTACAATTCAATAAGCTAATACATATAATACACCTGGCACAGAGAAAAAAAATCTATAAAAGGTAGTTATTATTTGGGAAGTGCTTAACCTTAATGCAACACAAACTAGATTCACACATCTTTTTGTCTAAATCAGGCTAAATAAGTCCTCTAAAGTGAAGTGGTAGTAATATATGTTCCTACACTACAGCCCAAAGCACAGGTGGCAAACACAAGGCCCATGGGCTGAATCCGGCCCTCCACCTTGTTTCATCCAGCCCAGCACCTTGTTTCGACCCAGCGGCAGTGCTGAGCTTCTGCTTCACTGTTAAGGAGTAGTTAAGTTATACAGTCCTAAAGTTACATTTGGCCCTTTGACGGCAACCTCGAGGCTGATGTGTCCCCTGGTGAAAATGAGTTTGACACCCCTGTCCTAAAGGGCTTGAATTGTGAGTGATTCAAGCTTCTTCTTTTTTTTTTTTTTAAGATTTTATTTATTTATTTTTAGAGTGGGAAGGGAGGGAGATAGAGAGAGAGAGAAACATCAATGTGCGGTTGCTAGGGGTTATAGCCTGCAACCCAGGCATGTACCCTGGCTGGGAATCGAACCTGCGACACTTTGGTTCGCAGCCCACGCTCAATCCACTGAGCTACGCCAGCCAGGGCTTGATTCAAGCTTCTTTATAATTGAGACCTATTTCCTTCACTGCACTTGCAGATTTCATTATTTTATTTGCTTATTTTCTGTACTCCTCACAAGACTCTAAGCTCGTTACTCTCATATATCCAAAACCTAGTATGGTGTTTCAAGAGAATGGTTGATCCTCAACGAATGTTTGCAGAGCAGATAAAACTTAATATCCACCTCTTTGTAAATCCTGTATGTCTGTGTCTCCAAATATATTTTGTAAAACTTAAGTACTGTCAATGGAGAAGGGACACTAAAGGTGACAAGCATTTCCAGTCCACCACAGGACTACTGCTGTCGCTTCCTGTCCTCCTATCTATATAAGCTTAGAAAAAGAGGCCAGTTCTGCCAAGAGTCTCTCAACAGTAGAACTCCAATTAGGACACGGTAACAATGTACTATGTCACACTCTTTCCCAATTTCATATTTCAGAAAGTGACCATTTTAAATGGTAACTTATAACACCCTCAAAATTGCTAGTGTGCATGTAGCACTTCCTAAGCATACCAAAAAATAATTCATTCAATTAAAGAGCAAAAAATAAAACATTAAATACTTATTTCTCATCTAAAAAAGGTAAATCACAGTATCTCTCCAACAGGATTATTGTGAGGATTAGGATATGGGGCACATACAGCACTCAGCACAAAAGTAAGCAGTAAACAAACAGTAGCTACTATTAAAACACAATCCTGACGTGAGCAGCACACAGAGGAATGAACATTCCCTTGTATTAATTCATTTCTGAAAAGCAAAAATTGCCTAGTACCTTGAGTTTCATTTCAATATTAAACTATATTGCCTTTTTGTTTTAATTTTGATTTGTATAAAATTTTATTAAGTAAAAGGTTTCAAACTTTATTATATTTTTTATTGTATTTTAATATCTCCAGTTTTATCATTTAAATTGAATTCTACTTTTTTTTATAATGGAAAGTTATCAAAAACCAAATTAAACTATTAACAAACAATTTAAAAAAAGGTACATATTTTACCTGGCCATTTCCAAGCAGAGATATATCATTCCCCATTAGAAAATAGGATCCAAAAAAGAAAATAAAGGCATGACTGAAACCCAGGATGGTCCAATAAAGAAAAGTTTTAATGCTTAGTTGACGGTTTTTACTAATGTCTCTGTAAAATCAAAAGAAAAAAAACAGAGGAACATATTATAATTCATAAATATTATTTACCTATTAAGAATTATTACAATTTTGTAATTAAAAACAAGATTTGATTTTTAAAATTTGAAAATATTGGCAGAAAGAGTAAACCCCACTTTACCAACTACTAGTTGGTCAAAAAGTTCATTTGTTTTTTCCATAAGATGGCTCCAGTAGAGCTTAGTTGTCTTTAACTTCATTCAAAACAATTTTGTTGAGTTGTATTGTGACAGCTGTCATACCAGTATATATTACAGAAAAGAAAATCACAATTGGTGAATTTTTGTGTAGCCATTTTAATATCAAAGTTGGAAGAAAATATGCAATGTTTTTGGTATAGTATGCTTTTTTTCATTTCAAAAAAGGTAAAAACGCAACTGAAATGCAAAACAAGATTTGTGCAGTGTGTGAAGGTGTTGTGGTTGACTGAATGTGTCAAAAGTTGTTTGCAAAGTTTCCAGATGGAGGTTTCCTACTGGACAATGATCTGTAGTTGGGTAGGCCCACTGAAGTTGGTAACGATCAAATCATGACATTAATTGAGAACAATCTTAAAATAAAAAAAAAAAAGAACAATATTTATACCACACAGGAGATAGCCAACATGCTCAAAATATCCAAATCAATAAAGTTATTGGTGAAAATGAAAACTGTATCTGTTATTTTATAGAAAAAAACTAAACAGACTTTTTGGCCAACCCATTACTATTTGTAATTAATCATACACCTGTGCAACAGCTTATAGTTCACAAAATACATTCACATTCATTTTCCCATTTGATAAAGAAATTTGATACAACATAATACTACAGTTTAATTGTAAAAACGTTGAATTATCTGTATTGTTATTCTGTTGTAAACATTCAGTTGCCGTCACGACTATTCTTACCATTTCTGGATAACTGAATACCTGTATGAGAATGGAGGTCACACGGATGTGGAAATCATAAGCTGGTCCCGAGGAACAGCTCCACATCCCTGTGATTACTTGGTTCTGTGGAACCAGGACTAACTCAGGGAATATGGATGAGAACTAATGCCCCCAGCCCTACCTTTTACACTGAATACTACTCATAAATTTGGCAATACTAGAAAACGAACTAATTTTTTAGGAACTCGGGAGACAACCAATCACTGAATAACTTACCATATTTTTCGGAATATAAAACGCACCCCCCCCGCCACCACTTGGGAGGAATAATGGTTGTTAATGCTGTTGTTGAGTTCTGTTTACATTTACATTGGTGAAATATTTGGCGAAATATTATGTTATTTATGTTATTAAATATTTTACCACATTTTGTGCTTCAAATTGTTTTTCCCTATTTTCTTCCTCTAAAGCCTAGATGTGTCTTATGGTCCAAAAATACGGTAATTTATGCACGTGAAATGGAATATTACTGGCTTGCAACAATAAATGCAAATTATACAATTGCCCAATACATTACTAGGATGAAAGCATTCATTCCTAAAAAAACTGGAAAAATTGTGTTCAACAATTACCTTATTTTTTGGACTGTAAGACACATTTTCCTCCTCAAATTTGGGAGAAATAATGATTGTTAACGCTGCTATTGAGTTCTGTTTACATTTACATTGGTGAAATATTATGTTATTTATATGTTATTAAATATTTCATTGCATTTTTTGCTTCAAATATTTTTTTCCTATTTTCCTCCTCTAAAACCTAGGATGGTCTTATGGCCCAAAAAATATGGTATAAACCATACAATAACTAAAGTACTTTCCCCAGTAAAGTATTAATCGCCAAGACACTATCTAATGTATTTTTAAGGTACTTTTAAAAACTGGTAACTATATATACTACTTGCATTCAGAAATGTTATGGACATCTACTACTGGAAAATGCTTACCGATAGAGGGTGGGCTTGTTCTGTAATACATGAGGGTCTATATGCTGTTCCAGTAGACTATATATCAGAATAGGTAGGGAAGTAAAACAAATGTTGTATAAAGTCAGGTACACGCTGTCATACAATGTCTAGAAAGAGAAATCAGTAGGAATTTTTAGATTTTAAACCATACAGTATTGTTATTATACTTAGGCATATAAAAACAAAGAAGCATATCAAAAATAAACATAAAAATTATTTAGTTTTTCAATTTATACCAAAATCTTTTTTAGTAATTCCAATCTGGTTCTGACATACATATAAACATATAATGCTTATAGATTAGTATTCTTTGTGGGAATTGGAATATTTTGTTATGTCAAATAATTCTGGAGTTATAGTAAATTGGACCTACATTTCAAGATTCTCCACAAGTTGGTCACTGTGATGTAATTTTACGCGTTTCTAGGGATGTGATGTAATTTTACATGTTTTTATTACTGGTCCTTTGATATGTACACATTCAGTTTTGCTTTCATGGTTTTGTCTTCACATCTAAGTGCTATACTTCCTTTAAAGCGTGATCTATGAAAGCTTAAACATTTATGATCACTTCCTTTAACAGTCACATGTGCTACTGTTAATACTAATTTGCTTAGTACTTTGCCATTGTTTCACATATTGATTTTATTGTTATTAATACTTTATCTTTAATGATACTGTGAACTCCTTGGAAACTTAATAAAAATAGGTAGTTTTCTTTGTTGTATGTTCTTATAGCATTCTTTATTTCATTCAGGTAAGCAAACATTGTTATTGGCAATCAACGCCTAAGCAGATACTTAGAATTTGGAGTTACAGGTTGTAAACTGGAGAAAACAGTAAGGACAAACAAACCAAGAAAAAAACCTAAGATAACTGAGCTCTTGTTATTTCAATAAATGTGAACAAACATCTTGATAAATTAGAAATGCATTGTGTGGTACATCCAGAGGGTGCTCTAGTCAGAAGCAGTAGGTCCAAGTACGGTCTAGTTATTAATTTAGCTATGAGATTTTGGGCAAGTTACCAAATCTCTGTGTCTTTCAATTTCCTTTTCTTATAAAGTAAGTCAGAGTAGATTGGGAATGAGAAGTATGTGACATGTATAGTTGAAGACCCACCAACATGTGCTTATTACAGCTACTGCTAATCAAGAACTGGGCCTAGAGCTAGAGCTTCAAACCCTTTCAATATAGCACTCCTGGTGGTACCTATAAAGCAGAGCTAGTGCCTGAGACTATGCTGTATGTCATCCCTGGACTCAATTGCTCAAGTTCCTTCCAAATCTAAAAATATTTTATGAGTCAAAAACACAAAACCAAAACCCAAAAACCAATCAGGTACTCTCCAAATAGTTTTCTGGCCTGGCTTCTTATGGATTTTATAGAAATATTATACACAAGTTGAAAAAATCACCAAAATTTTCTATTAAGCTATTAAGAGTTAATATCCATTTTTTAAAAAGTATCAAGAATTAAAATATAGTTTGATATTAATACTCACTTCAAACTAAAAATGAGAACAAATAAATATTATGAATGCTGTACTGATTAAATACACTAGACAAGTTTTATCTACTTATCAGCAAGACTATGAAAAATTCCCTCCAAGTATCTATCAAAGACTGAACACACATACTTTGTTCTAAAAGTATAAAACAAAAGCTTCTATTTACTTACTTGTTGAGAAAACAAACAGTAGAACTGATATAAAAATTGGGGTGTGATAAAGCATACATTCTGAAAAACAAGATTAAATGGAAATAAAAATTAAAAATGGCTAATGATCCAGAAACACAATCTCAGTTAATATGGAAGACAGATGATCTGCCCATAAGAACTTGTCCATATAAAATGGTAAAACAGAAATCCCATTTTATTAAAAAGTCTGAAAGTATCCTAAGTAGCATTGCAAATGTCAGAACAAAATACCATTGACTCATATCATTGCCAAGCAATACCATAATTTTGAATTTATGCTTTCTAATTATTATTCAATACTTTTCATATACAGTATAAGAAGTAAGTTTCACTTCAACTTTAGGACTAAAATAGCTTTAAAATGCTAAAAAATTTAAAACAATAAATGAAACCATCAAAACATCTTTTGATTTCAATACACTTATGACACAGCAAAGCTATAATAATAAGCTAGGAAAAAACCCTGCCACCATCATTTATTAGCAATATTCAATCTGCCTGTGTTTTTTCATTGGCTGGCAGCTACTAATTATAGGTGTATATATACAACAGAGGGCACAATGGTGTATTAAATGTCTTGGTACTCAGTGGCTCTTAACGTGAATTCCATAGAATCCCACCTTACCCAAAAGGGTCCAGAGACAGATCAGTAGTACTTCAACATAATTAGTTCCCCTATAACCCTATGTATTTTATTTTATGTATCTAAAAGCCCTATACTGAGTAATTTATACATCTCACTAGACTACCAAACATTCATTCACAGCACAAAAAAATTTAGAACCTCTGCCTGAAAACATCATATTGAAGTTAAATTAGAACGTGTTAGTGATTCACCGCTGGCCAAGGTGGCTCAGTTTATGGGAGCAATGTTCCATATACTGAAAGGCTGTGGGTTCAATTCCTGGTCAGGGCACATGCCTAGATTGTGGGTTTGGTCCCAGGTCAGGAGGCATATGAGAGGCAACAGATCAATGTTTCTCTCTTCTTTCTATACTGATGTTTCTCTCCCTCTCTCTCTCTCTCTCCCTCCCTTCCTTTCTCCCTAAAATCAATGGGCATGTTCTCAGGTGAGGATAGAAAAATTAAAAACAAAACAAAACATGAGTATTACTGGTTCAAAACAAAGTAACATCAAAGAAATAAAATTGATCAAGTTCTAATTTGCACAGAATAAAAATGTGTCCATCTTTTTTTTGTTTTGACAAATTTATGCACCTGTGTAACAACCATCTGAATCAAACTATGTAAGTTTTCTGTTACACAAAGTTCTCAATATATCCTTTCCAGTCAATTCTATAACCTGCACCCTTGACATTAGGCAACCACTGATTAGCTTTTTGTCAGTACAAATTAAATGCATGACTAGTAATCGAAGTATATTCCATAAACTGTTATTTTTACTTATGGAAACAATTTTTCAGAATAGCTTGTATGGTAATAACATTCTTTAAAGCCTCACATTACTGTCAATAATTAATTCTAAAATAGCTCCATGAAACTCAACTCACCTTATAAAAAAAATACTGTACAAGGGTAGCTATTCTAATATAATAAAAATGACCATGAACAAAAAGCAACTTGGAGAGAAATTTAAATCTAGCTATTGCATAGTCACTGTTTCTTGCAGCTTGTCTTCCTTCTTTACCCATGATTCCTGTAATAAAGGGGACAAAAAGGCAAATTCATTGATAACTGATTAGTATAATCTTCATGATATATCTGTGAATATATTAATTATAGCAGTTGAACCTGGACTTAGGATCACCATATCCTAATATACAGCAGATAGCAGGTTCCCAGAAGTTTGTTCTAAATCAAATATGTAATCTAATAGTCTAATACGAAGCTACAATATACTAAGCATGTAACATCAATTTTCAAAGGTTGAGAACATAATATAAAATACAAAAATAATATTGAAAGTCCAGAATGTAATAAGAACATCAATTACACTAAAAAGCTCGAAGTCCGAGCTAACAGATTTCTAATAGAGAGGATGCTACGAAACAGCTTTAACTTCACTGAACATGAAAATATTGAAATTGAGTAATTTGAGTCTAGCACAAATGAGCATGTTTGACTGCTTCAAAATTTTCATGTGTAACTCAAACAAAACGTGCTTTTAAAAGTATAATATCATCTGAAATAAGTACATAATTATATTCGATAAATACGAACATACATGCACATCTAATAAACACAGACAACAGTGATGGCCAGAGGGGGGTGGCTGTGGGGGTAGAGGTGGGTAAAGGGGAGAAAAATTGGGACATTTGTAATAGTGTCAACAATCATAATAAAGGAAAAAAGAAAACCCATACTTTTCTCTTTACTTCTGTATTTATATAATAAAATTATTGAGGAAGACAGATCAGAATATGGTTTAAATAGGAAATGACCAATAACTTAAATGTAAATAAAATACTAGTATTCTGAATCGCATAAAAATTCTGGACTAGAAAATCAGGATAAAGTTTATAAATTAGAAGTCTATTTGAAATTTTATATTTTATTACAGTCTGGTATAATTTTCTGTCTCTAAAATTGTGTTTAAAATGAGCTGCACGATCTTTAGATTGACAAACATCAATAACATTCAAAAACAAAGATTTAAAACCATGAGGGCAACTCTATGTAATTCAACAAATTTAGAGTTAAAATAAAGTTACTTTATTATTTAGAATTAGAAAAAAGTAAATTTACTAATGTGGTATTCATGTCCTTGAAAATCTGGAATTAAAATATTCTAAATAATCAATTAATTGTAACAGGCTCTGATGGGGATACACTGAGATATATTACCATGTTGCATTCAGTTTTTATTCATGTATTTGACATTGCACTTTAGTCTACAAAAGGAAAATTCAAGATCTCCAAATAATTATACCAATATTAAAGCTCAGGGAAAAAAGAAAATCAATCACCTATGCCAACATGAGCTTCTTGTATCATGCTTACATCATTAGCACCATCACCAACAGCCAATGTTATAGGTTTCTCAGGTGAGATTTTTATCAGTCTTATCACCTGAAACACATACAACTAATTAGTTAATGATGATAAAATTTCAGCTTTCTTAGATTTATATAAAGTCATTTATCCACAATGATTCTGCTAAAATAGAAAACAATTAAGTTTATATTAGACAATAATATGTTCTGGGGTTCAATTTTGGAGGGATGTCTCCACTAAGATGCCAGAAATGTCTTTAAGAAATGACGTTGGTGCCCTGGTTGATGTGGCTCAGTGGACTGAGTGCCAGCCTGTGAACCAAAGGGTCACCGGTTTGATTCCCAGTCAGGGCACATGCCTGGGTTGCAGGCCAGGTCCACAGTATAGGGTGCGCAAGAGGCCACCACACATTGATGTTCCTCTCCTCTCTTTCTCCATCTCTTTCCCTCTCTAAAAACGAATGAATAAAATCTTAAAAAAAAAAAAAAAAAGAAATGACGTTGGAAAAAAGTATTATCTTAGATTTTATTATGGGAAGCAAGAATCTTTAAATACAGCTTAAATTTGTAAAAAGCTTCATTATAATAATATAGGCATTGTCACAAAATTCCATGGAGCCAAGAAAAATTGAATGTCTGATTTATTAGACTTATATGTGGAAAAAAATCATGTTTAAATGTGCATTTCAAAGAATACTACTGTAAGGATACTGTTTATGAGGGTACAGCCTAAGACCTCAAATTATAAATTTGGAGTTACAAAAAAATATATGCATAGGCTTTCACTGGAATCATAGTTGAAATTTATGTATTTTTTGTATATAGCTTTATAACACAAATTAATTGGCTTTTCAACTTCCTACTAAAGTTCTATTTATTACTTACCAGCTGCTTTCCCCCTATTTTTTTTATACACATCTATATTTATTGATTCCAGAGAGAGAGAGAGACAGAGAGAGAGGGAAACATCAATGTGTGAGAAACATTGACTGGCTGCCCCCTGCACACACCTCAACTGGGGATCGAACCTGCAACTTAGATATGTGTGCCTTGACCGGGAATTGAACTTGCAAATCTTTCGGTGCACGGGAAGACATTCTAAACAACCAAGCCACAATGACTGGGCAAGTTAATAGCTATTTTTAACAAAGAGAATTAACACTTCACCAGAATGCAAGAATGAGCAGAGATCAATAGAATCACTTGAAGGTGCATGTGAACTGAAGTCTCATAGGCTCCCTCAATAGGTAAGTTACTAACTTGTGAAACTAATTATTATAGTTCAAATCTGTGTCTCAGGAAAATCACAAACTGCTAACCATCATAGTCGTTCTAGGTCATTATGAACAGCTGAAACTTTTATATTCACTCTGACAGTTCAAATGGTCTAATATACATGGTTAAAATTCCTAACATGAGAAATGACTAACTCCTAATAGGATTCACATACTGCATGCCACCAAATGGAACTAGTTAAGGCATTAACCTTAAAGAATACTTTTAGATCTATACATCCTTATGGAACTTTTAATAACATAAACATACCTTGGCTTTCTGCAGTGGTGCCATACGACAACACAATACAGCTGAACAATTTCTGCAAACATCCATAAATAGTTTTTCATGCTCCCTGAGTGCAAGAGATAGACTGGTCCCATCCACCACCAGCCCATGCTGAATCACATGATCCTCTGTAATTCTAAAACAGAAAATAATTATATCCTCTGTAAGACACTTTGAAGTCATATTATTCTTACTCAGTAAACAAAAGATTCTTACTGAAAGATGGACCATTCATCTACAGACTTTATTATTACAAAACTAATATAGGAATATTAGTTTTGTAATAAAAACTGAGTTGTATTATCTTGAAATTAAGATTAAGTAGAACTGAGAGTGACTGATATTATGAATAAAACATGATATTCAATTTTATAATGAACTGATAGTTAAGTAACTGTATTTTCTAAATATGAATTGTAACATATAATCTGAGTATATTCTCCCAAATTGTGAGTATAAAGTCTTATAAAAATAAAAACATTATTAGTTTCATTTAGTAAATCCTGATTTTTAAAAATTAAATAAAAAATATTCAGGAAAATTCATGACCTAAATTATGTGTAAGTAGGAAGCAAACAAACAAATCATAACTGTTCTTGATATTAATTCCTACAATGGACTGGGACTCGAGAGATTCTCTATGGTGAAACATGGATAACACTTCCCTTGTGCGCACATGCTAGTGAGTACTACTCAAAGCATGGGCTGATTACTGGCAGCTGGGAAAAACTATTTGTTGCTAGGAAAAGGTAAGAAGCTTGCATCAGTATGTAAATCAGCTACATTACTGAGCACACTATTTTGTTCCACTGTTTCTCCCCACTCTCCCTTCACAGTAAGATTTTTTTTTGATGAAAGAGCAGTGCACAAATTCACATTCTGCTGCGAGCTCCTTTATGGTGTCGAAGGCCAGCAGTCAAAGTAGCACCACACTAGATCCACCACAAGTGCAATGCACTGCAGTTCACCACTGGGTTTACAGTGCAGCACACACTGCTACTAGGAAATATCCCTACATTTCAATTTTATTTTCCCCCAGCTTTACTGAGATGGGACATATAACACATATAAGTTTAATTCACATTATTATGAAATAATTACCATAAGATTAGTTAACACCTCCGTCCCCTCATGCAATTACCTTTTTCTGTGTGGTGATAACATTTATGATCTCCTTACTTTCTTAACAACTTTCCGAAATATGACCCAGTACTGTTAATTACAGCCACTAGCTGTACATTAGATCCCCAGAACTTATTCATCTCCTGTATAATAAGCTGGAAGTCTGTACCCTTTGACCATCATTTCCCAATTTCCCCACATCCTAGCCCCTGGCATCTACCATTCTACTCTCTTTTTCTGTAAGTTTGGCTTTTTTAGATTCCACATACAAGTATTTATCTTTCTCTGACTTATTTCACTTAAGGTAATGCCCTCAAGATTCAATCATTTTGTCACAAAAGGCAAGATTTCCTTCTTTTTACGGCTGAATGTTTTTTTGTATACAGGGGTGGTCATAAGTAGGTTTACAATTCTGAGTACATAAAAAGTTTATTTTTGTATGTTTATTTATTATTAACCTACTTTTGTCGACCCTTGTATATACACATACCATACCTTCTTTACCTATTCACACATCAATGAACACTTAGGTTGTTTCTATTCTTGCCTATTGTGAATAACGATGCAATAAAACATGGGGGTACAGATGTCTTCAAGATAGTGATTTCATTTCCTATGGATATATGCCCAGAAGTGGGATTGCTGGCCCTGGCTGGTGTGGCTCAGTTGATTAAAGCACCCTTCTAAAAGCTCAGGGGTTTGATTCTTGGTCACAGCACATGCCTAAGTTGTGGGTTCAGACCCCACTTGGGAGGCAAACTATGGCTGCTTCTCACCCTCCCTTCCCCCATCTCTGAAATCAATGGGTATGTCCTCGGGTGAGAAGGAAAGGAAAAGGAAAGAAAAGAAAAGGAATTGCTGGATCATATGGTAGTTCTGTTTTTAATTTTTTGAGAAACCTTCATACTATTTTTCCACAGTGGCTGTATGTATTTCCATTTTTAAATGAGAAGTGAGAAAAGTATTAAATGAGCATTAATCTATAAAAACTAAACAATATATTGCTAGATTAGAGACTTGTAACATTAACAAAACTTTTGTAAGTTAAAATGTGTTTCACAGTATGCCTAATCACCATTGTGTTGCACTGCAACTAGATAGTAAACAATTCACTTTTACGATGTAAACTTCTAAAAAATGTATTTTCCTTTTTTTATTAATTCTCCAGTATATGAAATCAGCACCTGCAGTGACTCCCTACCGGGCAAACTTTACTTAGCAACTGGTTCTTTTTCCAGTATGTTCAGCCTAAGCACTCCCTGAGCAGAAGAGGGAGCAGGCAAGGGTGGGACACAGCAGACCAGTTTTTCTAACACAAAATTGGGGTTTTCTCTGGAAAGGCTTCATAAATTGGCATATTATCTCATAACCTATGGGATAATATTTATGAAATGTGGAAAAGCTCTTCACAGGTCTGGCACATAGTAGGTAGCATCTGCTCATCTCTGTAGTCTTATGTTTCAATACTTCCCATATCCTCTCCCATCTATTCCATTCTCTGGTCATAACCGCCACCAGTTCTTTGAGCCTCTTAGCTCTGGGAATCTGCATACAATTTGCTTCTTGGTGTTACTCTCTGACCAGTTAACAGTGTATTTCTTAGGAGGCAACATAGTCACAGGTGCTTCCACAGAACTGTGTCTAGGTTAACCTTCCCTCTCCTGTCCACCCACAAGTTTGTTCTTGCCTCGGTTACAATTCAGCTGTAATAAGTCTATCACAATATATTTACTTCTGTTTTTCCCATAATGTAAGTATTTTGAGAGTCAGCAATATATGAATAAATACCTTATAAGACTGTGTCTTCCAATGTCTAGATAGGAGATACCACAGCATTTGTGAAAAAATGAATACATAAACTAAAGCTTTCAAAGGTATAGAATTCTTTGTTCTATTCAAGGTTTTTTTTTAATTTTTATTTTTAAAATATATTTTATTGATTATGCTATTACAGTTGTCCCACTTCCCCCCTTCACCCTGCCCTCTACCCTGCCCACCCCCCTCTACCCTGCCCACCCCCTCCCACCCACATTCCCCGCCTTTAGTTCATGTCCATGTGTCATAAGTTCTTTAGCTTCTACATTTCCCATACTATTCTTGCCCTCTCCCTGTCTATTTTCTACCTACCATCTATGCTACTTATTCTCTGTACCTTTTCCCCCTCTCTCCTCCTCCCACTCCCCTGTTGCTAACCTCCTTCAAGATTTTTAGAATATATACTTCCTGAAAGTCTGAAATCAAAATCACATTGACTTATATGATTATCTCAGGAAATACACTCCACCAAAAAGATGGTATCTCTAAAATAAAATAAAAATCTCATATACCAAAACTAGGATTCATTTTAAAGTATAGTCTTCACTTTGTATCATAGCTTCTGTACAAAAAGGGAAATGAATAATATTCATGATCTTAAAAGGCTCACTGCAAGTATGACTTAAAGAATATATTCAAAACTACAAATAACAATTATCTTTAGGTAACTGTAATATATTACTAACCAGCATAATTTTCTTTATCATTTCCAGCATTTTTTAGATGGACATTACTTTTGTAGTCAGGAATATTTCAGTAGGAATACAGGGGTGTACAAACATAGGTTTACAATTGTGAGTACACAAAACAGTTTATTCTTGTATTATTATTTATTAATTATTACATCATTTTCTATGCAAACAACTGTAAACCTACTTTTGCCCACCCTTGTATACCTAGTCAATGATTCTGAAGAATTATTTTAAGTTCTCTTTGACATATGGGACTTAAATGTTTAGACAGTCACAGTGGTGTTCGAAATGCTCCCAACTGTAGTATAATTACCCAGATCAATCACCTTTTTGAACTCAAGCAAATAATCCTCTGAGAATAATACTGTCTATTTAAAACAACCCAGACTTTTTTCTTTAAGAAAACCCGAAGTTATCACCATATCAGTGTGTGTATTAACAAATGTAAATAAAGCACTGAATGTACACTGAAGCTGTGGCATTGCCATTTTGCATTTCTTTTTCTGCGCTAGTATCACAAGACTGAAAATGGCAGGAAACTGAAGAGACCTAAGTATCTGCATATAAGCAACCCTGAGTCTTATATGGTAGCACTCCTAAATTTATTGTGAAAAAATTAGACTGCATTAGATGGGGGCTCTGAAATAAAGTTGATCTGCATATTTAAAAGAAGATTTAGAAAAAAAAGAGAATGAATTTAGGGTACAAATATTTATGAAATTATCATTGAATAGTAAAGTGCAGAGTGATTTCCCAATTTGGTCATGTGAACTGGATGAGGAGCTGCACATATTTTGTATAAAAGGCCTGAAGTAAATATTTCAGTTTTAGGTTTTGTGGGCTGAGAGGCTAAACTGAGGATATTATATAGGTACTTACAACAATAAAGACAAAAAAATTTTTATTAAGTAAAAAAATGTAAAAATAATGAAGTATAATTTAAAAGCAGTACAAGTCTACTAATGAGAAGAATGAAAATCATTTTGAGGGGGGGAGTAACATTTTGCTTAAACTGGGGTTTAATGCTCCCCATCAAAATCAATTGCAAATGTCCATCTTGTAATGCTGATTTTGTAATGAAATTTTACATTTTAATACAACAGAACAATCTGCGATGAGATTTTATATTTCACTTTGAATGTCTTTTTAAACAGGTAGTATATTAAAGTGTAACTGAATAATACAATGCTCTGCATCTAATTTGATAAAAATAACAAATACTCCACTGTGCTTTAAAAGGCCATTTTTCTTGTTTGGAGCTGATAAGTAAATACCGATAACTAAAATATAGTAAATTGTCCTATGTGTGGTGCTCAAGACACTACAGGGTTGTAATTGTGTCACTGTGACTTGAAGTATATCAAACAACAGTGAGAAATGAAAAAAGTGCTTCATAAGGTCTCTGCTGTAACTACTCAACTGCTCTGCTTCAGAGCAAAAGCCTTCATTGATGACACATAAATAAATGAATGTGGCTGTGTTCCAGTAAAAGTTTCTTCACAGGCAAACTTTATTTATAGATAAAGACACTACAAAGAAAGAAAACTATAGGCCAATATCCCTGATGAATAAAATATGATAATTTTCACAACATGAAATAATGTAAAAATTATTTTGAGCTCATAGGCTATAAAAAATAGGCAGTGGACCATAGTTTGCTTATTTCTCAAAACTCAATGATTCACATAATTATATTCTTACCTTCTGGCAAGCTGTCTCAACTGTTCAGCACATTCGCTGTCTGATTTCTGGTTTATAAGTTCAAGGATATTCATGGTTCTGTGGAAATGTCCACACGATAAACTCACACTAACAGCTGTTTCATGTTTATCTCCAGTAAGTACCCAAACTTTGATACCAGCCATTCTCAATGCTTCAATAGTTTCTCGAACTTTATCTTGTAGTCTAAAAATAAAAGAAACAAAATTAGCAGTAAGAAATACTTTTCTGATTGTATTTTAAGTATAAATCAAACAGTATAAGTAAGGTAAATTCTAGACTTTTTGACCTAGGAATTGTTATAGTAACATTTAGTTCAGTACTATAACTGAAATTTTTTCCCATTAAGGAAGAAACAGAAATAACCAAATCAGTGATCATCTATGTAACATAAAAAAATTTCTAACCTCATATTTTAAGAGTATATTTTCAAAGATGACTTTTACAGAACCAAGTATATGATCTACATAAACTATTTTATAAGAAAGTCTTACATTTCAAATTATAAGATTTTTCTTTTTGATAAGGAAATCTCTTAGATCAGCAGTTCAAAAATTAGACTTGTGAATACCCATAGATCTAAGAGGCAGAGAAAATATAACAGAATTCATAGAATTCAATTTAATTCACATAACTTAACTCAAGAAATTAAAACATACATTGAGATTGATACTGGGAAAAAGGACAGGGAATAAATGAACCTCAAGGAATTCACAGGCTAATAGAGAAGAAAATCTTCAAACAAATAGTTTTAATATACCACCACAAGGACAACACAGATCTAGAAAATACAGAGACTTCACAGAAAGAGCCTTTTAAATCCTGTTAGAAGTAAGGAAAGGTCTTACTGGAGTGGAATAATATTTGAAATATACTTTATAACTAGTTATTCAAAAATGGGTAGCCTTGCCAAGGAACAAAGCCGTAAAATAGAATAGTTTTAACTTAGCTGTTGTTCAGAGAACTACAGTCAGTTTGGGACTACTGAAGTATAAAGTGGAAGGATGCAGTGGGGGACGGAGAGGCATGAGAACTAAGCAAGTGCTTAAAGTCTTTGTATGGCACACACTGAGGAGTATTCTAAAATTTCATCTACAGGCAAAATTATACATCTTTCATCTACTTCAGAGACTTGGCTAGAAGAAAAATTATACATACTCAACTGGAAGAAAAGGCTTTAAAACTCTTTTGATTTTTAAATATATTAAGTTATTACAGCATGTTAATAAGTGAAACTTATGTCAGAAATCAGAAACAGCTAAAAAAGCTCTTAGGAGAGAAAAATGATATTGCCCATTTCCCTGATACTTGCCTGTCTTCTACTGCTGTAGCTCCAAGTAATATCAGGTCTTTCTCTATGAACTGGAAGACATTAGCCAACTTCTCTTCCCGTTGCTGCAAGGCAGTCCTGGCTTCAAACAGGCGCCTGTCCATTACCTCATACTCTTTAGATGTCAACTGTCTATAGGCCATGCACAGAGTTCTTAGCCCTTTCTGAAACAGGAAAAGTAAAGACAAAAATTAAATGAAAACAACTAATATGGAATCAAGAAGTCACTGAAATAAAACTGAAGAACCCATTACTAAAAGTCAATTACAAATAATTTAAAAAGTACTATCATCTAATGATAGAAAATAAGTGTCACAAAGTCCTAGTGATAGGAGTTATGGAATATATATTATCATAAGTCTTTCAATTTCTGATGAGTTCTTAAAACGTTCTCAAAACAATTATGGTCATTGAATTGTAGAATATTAGAGAACAGATAGGATCACATGATTATCTTTTCTGTGGTTATTAAACCTGGAAATCCAGGGAGTCCCACAATGGTGCCTTCACAACTGTCAAGACCCAGGTTCTCCTTTCCTGTTTTAACCATTACAAATCCTCTCCACCTACTTCAAAATAACTTTTTAAGCAGAGGGAACCATAATTTCCTGAGGGTTTATGGTATGACATATTTGAAATAAAGAAGTCTGCAAAGTGGGCACTATCAAACAATACTTTCTAGAGCCACTGAATGATTTTAAATTGCACCACTACATCTTCACTGGTGAACTGGAATTACACAAAATTTAAAATTATATATTGGATTTTCTGATCCTACTGGGTTCAAGTTTTTATGGTGTTGATATGTGAAAGTTAGTATTTAAATCCAAAAGTCTATTTTAAAAGTTTCTTTTCTTGCTATATATTTTCCTTAGAAAAACCCAAATTAAATGTTCTAGTAACAGAACTTGGAAAGGGAGATTTTAAAGTATTATGTAATGTTATTTAGCACATTTCTAAAAAGTGGCATTCCTTGACTTACAAATGACCCACACCTATAAATTTTTTAACTGTTCCTCTTAAATAAAAGTTAAGGGACTATGAGGTTTATTAACATATGAACTTAATTAGTTCATTCTACACCAAACATTTACTGGGTGCCAACTGCATGCTGGCACTGTTCTGAATATTGGTATGACAGTCAGGTGGAACATGTCTTTGTTCCATGCATGTCACAGTGTGGCAGGTGAATCATGTCATCGACAATTAGGGGACCGTATTGCAAAATATGGGAAAAAAGAAATATTGGGAGTAATGGGAAAAAAGAAACCATAGGTGAAGGAAGAAGCTGAGCAGAGATGAGTACATGGCATACATACATTTACAGAAATGCAGCAATGAGAGATCGTGAGGTCCTAAGACTGAGAGCTGCTTAGTAATTTTCCTGTTCTACATAACTTGCATACTTTGTTTCTGAAAGATTCTCCTACATTCTTTCATTGAGACACATAATTCATATACCATAAAATTCATTCCTTTAAAAAGAATATTTCAGTAGTTTTCAGTGAATTCAAAGAGTTGTATAATTATCTTTAGTAATTAATTCCAGGACATTTTCATCATAGCCAAAGGAACCCCACATCCACTAGCAGACATTATCCCTTCTCCCCCTCCTCCCAACTCTGGCAACCACTATGAGTTTGCTTATTTCTATATTAATGGACTCTGTGGCCTTCTATGACTAGCTTCTTTCACTCAGTGTAATCTTTTCAAGGTTCATTCATATTGTAGGCTATATCAGTACTTTATTTCTTTCAATGGCCAAATAACAGTCCACTATATGAATATGACACACTGTTTAATCCATTCATCAGATAATGGACATTTGGGTGCTTCCATTCTTTTGCCATGCTGCTGAGGGGTAATGCTGCTGAGAACAGTTGTGTACAAGTTTTTGTATAGCTATATGTTGTCAATTCTCTCAGGTGTATACCTAGGAGTGGAATTGCTAGGTCACGTATTATACTCCATGTTGTGTGAGAAACTGCCAAACCATTTTCTAAAGTAGCTGTATCATTTAAATTCCCACCACCAATGTATGAGGGTTCCAGTGTCTCCACATCCTTGAATTCCTCTGTATTCTTTTAATAACTCTATCCACTTTTTTATATAGTAATGTGAGTGGTCCTTGCAGCTATAAGTGCCCTGAGTTTGTTCAAAGAGAAGACGCATTTTAGCAGGTTAATTTTTAACCAAATAGGGAGCCAAACATAATTCTATAATTTTTGAAAAATTAAAGCAAAAAAACTCCAAATCTCTCAAATACACATATATACACACACATATATACACACACATACATATATATGTATTTATGTACCTTTCAGAGTTTTTAAATCATAGAAATTTGCACTCACCAAAGCAAATTCATCTACATGAATTCTGGTTTTTTCTATTTCTCCACCTATACAGTTAGGGAGAATTGATGATTCAGCTCCTTTAGCAAATAAAAACTTCTCACCTAAAAAGAAAAATGAGTTATCAAGCTCTTAATATTAGATAAATAAAAATTCATAAAAATTTAGGTTGGTTACCTGAAGGTGCCTGTACAATTACACTCATTCTCCTACGATCTGAATCAAATTCCAGAATATGAAGCAGTTTGTACCTAATGAAAAAAAGATAAGATGAAACTTTACTTTTTTGAATAACATTAAGTAAATATTTAGAAAGAATCCCTACAAAAGATAAAAGTGGTTAATTTAGAACACAAAATTAACCTCAACTACATTTTCAAGATGGCTGGTTATAGAAATACAAGAAAGTAGTATTTACTGAGTACTTACCAAATGCCCTGTACTTTACTTTCCTATGCTCTTTAATACCCATGAGAACCAGAGGAGGTAGGTCTTACCTCGTTTTACAAATGAGGACTATTAAACTCAGACAGATCAAGTAATTTGCCTGAAGTCAAATAAACTTGTAAGTGACAGGGCAAGGACTGAAATCCAGATATGCCCAGTTCCACGTCTTTCTCACTAAGAAAGGTGGCTGATTCTCAACTCTTTCTTCTGCTCAGACACACCTGAGAAATACAGCACACTCACATGAGTAACAGAGGCTCACTACAGCAGTGATTCTGAACCTAGGACAGAATATGTCTACATGGGTAGGGAACAAATGCCTTTCTAAGGAGCTGTAAAAGAATCTGTGTGGATGGGTTAGGTGTGGATTGAAAAGTATCCTGGATGAATTTATACAACGATGTACATATACAATGCTGAAAAACACTGACTGGAATGATGGTTTATAAGCTGACAGAATGAGCTAGACAGGCTCCCACATGAAAGTAGCCAAAGAGTAAGCCCTACTTAGTTTGTAAAAGCATACTTTGAAAATGCACAGCTATAGTTGAGATGACTGAAATGGATAAAACCATGAAAGAAAGATCCAAATGTAGTAAGAATGGTCAAATTTATCATACAATGGAAACAAGATAGCTTTCTCTTAATGTTTAAAAGATAAAACAATAGAAAATGTAAGAAAGTTTTTCTTTATTAGCAAGAAACTTAGGAAACTCATTACCCAGGAGTGTGTAAAAATAAACATAAATTCAAGAACCATTAAGCTAAAATACAGATGAAAGATTCAGAACAGATACTGTTACCACTATGATGAGACATAATGTAATAACATCATTTTAGTGCTGGGTCAGTAAACTTTTTCTATAAAAGGCCAGACAATAAGTATTTTAGGTTCTGTATGACAAATGTGGTTGCTGTTGCATATTCTTCTTCTTCTTACAACCCTTGAAAAATGTAGTAATTTGTGGACTGTACAGAAACAGGCTGTAGAGCGGATATGGCCTGTGGGGCTCAATTTACCTGTATCTGTTCTATACTAAATGCTTGGTATATAGAAAATTACAATATAGAAAAAAAAATTACCGTTCCAGTTTTCCAAGTGTTTTAACTTCCATAGTTTCTTCAGAATTGCCAATAAATACAATGCCCATTCTAGGAATTAAAAGGAGAAAATATAAAAATTTAAGGAATTATTATTTTATATTTCACAATACATCATTCTAACTTAGCTTGAATAAAAATATTTAAAACATAAGTTTAAGATGTATTTTGAAATATTTCCTTTCAATATGGCATTATTTTTAAGAACCTGAAGGATCAGAGTAAGTCCAAAACAATACACACGCATATATTCTCACAACTTGTATTATTCATACTTGATAATAACCAGATTTTTTTAGAGATCACTTCAAAACATGACTCTATTGCAAGCTTAACAAAATTAATGACACATTTCAAATTCTCCTTAAAAATTTAAATTACAATTCTACCTTTATGTGTTTATGAATTTTGTCTGACAATTTAATATTCTAGTATTTTCACATTTTTACTTAAAAGGTATTTTTCTGCTGATCTGGAAATCAGACTAACCTACCTTGCAGCAGCTTCCACTAGAGCCTTTTCATCTGGTGAAGATGCATAGTATTCCAGCTGGGAGGGTGCAAGGTTGGACTGCCAGGGACCATCACCGATGCCATCAGTTTGAACATTACTAATTTGTACAGTGTGACAGAGACTGACTGCTTTAAAGAAGAGATCATGTTCTTTAATCTGCAGAAACATAATTAATATTCACACCATAAATACTATTCCCAAATAACATTTAGGAAACCAGAAACAGAAATCTAAAAAGTACGAATAAATAGTTAATAATTTGGTGACCTAAGATCTAAAATAACAATGCTACAATCTTGAATTGCCTAAGTAACCGCTGTCTGCTTCTGACTTTAAAGAGTGAAGTGTCACATTTGCTTATGACTCCCAATTTTTTAGGAGGCATAACCAAGTTGTAAGTTAAAGTGAAACCTCTTTTGTTGAAGAAGTGAGGTCTCAGAAAGTATTAAATAAATTTAAACTCTATTTTCCAGCAAAGTCTTCTTCACTTCAAGGCAGTAAGGACTTTCCTTAACTTACTTCCATTTAAATACCAACAGAACTGATACAAACACATATGAAGTGACAAGTTAAAATGGGTTCTCACTATAAATTCTCAGTATTAGTCAAAGGATATACATTTCAAATACATTATTTCTTGCTCCACTCATACAAAGACTACCATTTCCAATGACATTTCCTATTTATTAACTCAAACTTGCTTACCAGTTCAGTTTCACTTTCAGGACTGGCTCTAAAGGAAGAACTGGATGTAATATGGGGCAAGTTGTTCAGATGGGAAAAACTACTAAGATAACTTAAGCTGCCTTCTGCAGAGTCTGGTGTTGGTCCTTCGGATACAAGTCTGCCATTAATTTCTTGGTATTTTATGCCGTTAATTGAACATTCCCGAAACTGCATCTCATTTTCTGTCAGTGTGCCAGTTTTATCTGTAAACACATACTCCACCTAGAGACAGAAAACAAAAAAAACCCAAACCTTTGTGTTCATAGTCCTATGTTAAACAAAAACAGTAGGTCTCTATTTCCTTAAGTCTATTTCTTAAATTAGTAATACGAAAACAGTTAAGATAATGCCAATAAATGAATATTTATTAAATCCCAAATTGTAATATAACAATATTGGGGGGTCTGTAGGGAGGCAAAATGGGTATGTGTGTGAAAGAAATAGTGTGCGAGTTTTGTCTTTATGTTGCATAGTAAATAATTTCTAAAATGTGAAAATCTAGAAGGGATACTATATAGAAATAGGGTACCAGATAATGGAAGAAACAGCTTGAAAATTTAAAAATGGTAAACAAAATTAGGTATGGAGCAAAGTAGGGCTGTTTTTTGGTATAAGCCTTGTAGTATTTTCTTTTTTACTAGTTTTTTTGTACATGTATTGTTTTGATAAAAATAACAAATCAGACAAATAAATTAAAAGGATCATTTACCTGCCCAAGCTCTTCATTCAGATCTGAAGTATTGACTTGAGCTTTCTGATCCGATTCTTCATGATAGAGATCAAGATCCCAACCAATAAAAAATGATCCAAGAAATTTCTGCATTTCTACTGTCACGTATAATGAAATTGGAATGATGAAATTGTAGAGTACCAAAAAGGCAAGGAAGTCTGAAATAAATCTCAGAATCTAGAGGAAAAACATGATTGTTTGATAAGTGAAAATATGAGAGTATTTCCACCATTATATTGTAGAAAATTATCAGAAAGTTGCATGTCTAAACAAACCATTAACTATATTTTGAAGCAGAATAGCCTCATGAATTAAAATTCATCTTTTGAATTCTTTTTAACATATTACCTTGGTAGTTTTATTGTTCAATAGACTCTTAAACAAAGTAAAAGGGAATAAAAGTTAAACTCAAATCACTTAATTTCTTACTTTTCAGAAGCTAACAAAAAGCCTGGTGTGACCAAAACTGCTTTTGGCAAATTTTTAATTATAATCTCTGGAATATGCTTACCATTCTACTTCTACTCTTCAAAATTACAGATAACTAAAAATTGACTGTAATTTTTAAAAATTAAAAAATAGTTGCCAGGCTAGAACTGCTAGAATTTAAAATTCTTAGAATTCCAGGTCACACAGGAACAGCCTATTTCAATGGCACAACAAAACCAAATGTTAAAACCAAATGTTTCCCATTCTGGGAAAGTAACTGCAAATGTGATTATCTGCTGTGTGGTCTGAGATTCGAACCTGTATTTCAATATTTCTATTTTAATCTGAAGTGAAATTTGGAGAACTAGTTCCCAAAATTCTAGGTTAAATTCTGTTGGTAGCCCACATTTAATTAATTTAAAACTCTGCACAACATGATTTGTGTTATTACTTCATACCATCAATTGACTGACAGTAAGTAACATCCCTTGAATAATTCTGGCAGAATTGAAAATAAATCAACTTACTCTTTATTTCACTTATAGTACACAGGAATAAAAAACTAAATTTGTAATATTCAAGTGGAATGCCAATACAGATGATTTAAATTTTTATAATTTATTGTAACTATTCAAGTCACACCGCAGAAAATATAATTGCTTACATCCTAAAATGCAAAAAGCAAGCTAGTACAAACAAGCTGGTACTCTTCTTTTGCAATGTCCTTTAATTTCACTTACTTTGTTCCGTTTTATTTTCATTTACAGTTTACTTTCAATATTTTGTGTTGATTTCAGGTGTGCAATATTCCTTTGTCACCCTTCCATGGTAATGGTTTTTAGGAAGGTCACAGTGGTCACTCCTATCAGAAGTCACTACCAAAGAACTTGCTAGACAATAGTTTCCTTTACAGCAGAGTGAAGAACACCATAAAATACCTTACTACTATTTCTTTGATGTTCTGTTTTTTGGTTATACCAAGGTTCATCCCATTTTTCTTCAGCTTGCCATGTATATTTCAAGATAGTACTGATGATGGCTTCAGAAATAAGGATTATTAGATAAATTATCAAAAATGTATTCATTGACCTGAAATGAGAACAAGAGAATATAGAACATACCAATTATGTGTTACTATATACGGCTTGGAAAGTAATACTGACATTAAACAAGATATTAAAATATATGGTATTATAGCAGCTATTTAAAGGACAGTCTTTGTTTTTAAGAAATGACCACTCAATAGAATCTAATAACTAGCAATAAAATAACCAATACATAAGATTATAAGACTATGATAGCTATATTACTGTTCAAAATGCTAATAGTAACTGACAGTTTTTTGTGTGTGTGTAGGTAATTATTCTAAGATTTTTTATATTTTTAGGATTTAATAATTTTAAGTATAAAAATAACTAACATTTAGATAGCATTAAGATATATAAAACTTTTATCATGTCTATTAATTTGTTTGATCTTTATAAAAACTCTGTGAGGAAGAGATTACATCCTTCTCAATGAAAACTAAAGCCCAAAAATCATTCTGTAAATTTCCCCAAAATCACACAGGTTAGGAACTGATTACAGAATCCCTCTTCTTTTCACTGGGCTAGCTAAACATAACAATATTTCATTAGACAAGATTAATATTAGGTCTTTGTTTCTTTCACCAGCATTTTATAATTTTCATCATTCAGATCCTGTATTTTGTTAGATGTACATCTAGGTATTTTTTTGGCGAATGACTGCAAATAGTATTGTTTTTAATTTTGGTTTCTGTCATTGGTATTTCTAGGTAGAAATGTGTATATTTCTAATGTATTTCTAATATACACATTTAGTGCTGTGACAATTAAATTTTTTTTTTTAATCCTCACCTGAGGATATACTTATTGACTTTAGAGAGAAGGAAAGGGAGGGAGAAAGAGAGGGGGAGAAACAATCAGAGGTTGCCTTTTGTACTCATATGCGCCCTGACCAGGGACACACAACCCACCCATGTGCCCTGATCAGGAACTGAACCTGAGACCTTTTGTTTAAGGGACGACACTCCAACTGAGCCACACCAGCCAGGGCAATGACAATTAATTTTATGCACCAACTTGACTGAGCTGAGGGAGGCCCATACAGCTAGTGAAACACTATTTATGAGTATGTCTGTGAGGGTGTTTCTAGAACAGATTCATCTTTGATTCAGCAGACTTAACAAAGTAATACGTCCTCACCAAGGCAGGCAGGCATCATCCAATCCACTGAGGGACCAAATGGAACAAAAAAGGGGAGGTAGAGCAAATTCTCTCTCTCTCTTTCAACTGGGCCATCAGAGTTCCTGGTTCTCAGGGCTATGGACGCCAGGTTATACCTGGCCCCATGGTTTTCTGGCCTTTGACTCACACTCAATTATATCATCAGCTTTCCTTGGTTCTCTAGCTTGCATATGGCAGGTTGTTGGGCCTTATGGCCTACATAACCCTTTGAGCCAATTCCTATAATAATCTCCTCCTATATATAACCTATTGGTTCTGTTTAACTTTAGCTGCATCCTAGAAAATTTCATGAACTGTATTTTCACTGATTCTTAGATATTTTTAACAATTTTCTTTGAGATTTCCTCTTTTACCCATAGATTTAGAAGAGATCCAGTTACTCCATATCCTTGCCAATACTTAGAACTATTAGTCTTTTTAATTTTCAGCATTTCCAGTAAGTGTGTACTGGTATCTCTTTGCAGTTTTAGATTATATTTCTCTCATAACTAATGATGCTGAACATTTTTTATGTGCTTATTGGCCATTTGTATACTTTCTTTGTGATGTACCTGCTTCATCTTTTACACATTTTCTTCATTAGGCTGTTTTCTTTTTAGTAGATTTATAGAAGTTTTTACAAATCGTTATACATTTTGGGTACAATTCCTTTATCAGATGTTTTGTGGATATTGTCTCCCAGTTGATAGCTTGCTTGTTCTTTTCCTTAAATGAACAGTCTGATGAGCAAAAGTTTTAATTTCATGGATGTTTATAATTTTCTTTAATGGTTATTGCATTGTGCACCCTAAGAGACACTGACTTATCTCTAGATTATTAATGTATCTTCCTAAGTTTTCTTCTAAACTTCTATAGCATTAGCTTTTATGTTTAGATGATTTATCTTGAAAAAGATGTTTTTCTTTTCATCTAAACATCTAAAATGAAGCATCTAAAATTATGTTTGCATGATTCATTTTGGTATATGGTGTGAGGTAGAATCTGAGGTGTGTTATCCCCCCCCCATGGATATCCAATTGTTGTTATATTATTTGTTGAAAAGACCATCATTTTCCTCATTGAATTTACTTGATGTTTTGGTTGAAAATTAGTTGACCACATATAAATAGGTCTATTTCTCAACTTGTTATTTCATTCCATTGAGCTATCATTTTTGCTAATACTATACTATATGCACAATCAATGGAATAGAATTGAGAACCCAGAAATAAAACCATATGTATATGGGCAAATAATTTTTGATAAAGGAGCCAAAAACATACAATGGAGAAAAGAAAGCCTCTGCAACAGATGGTGCTGGGAAAACTGGAAAGCCACATGCAAAAAAATGAAACAAGACTACAGTGTGTCCCCATGTACAAAAATTAATTCAAAATGGATCCAAGACCAAAATATAAGATCTGAAACAATGAGTTACATGGAAGAATAAATAGTAACTAAACTTATAGGCCTTGACCTTAAAGAAGATTTTATGAATTTGACCCCAAAGGCAAGAGAAGTAAAGGCAAAAAGAAATGAATGGGACTATATCAAACTAAAAAGCTTCTGCGCAGCAAAAGAACTGCTAACAAAACAAAAAGACTATCAACCAAATGGGACAAGATACCTGCTCCAACAAGGGGTTAATATCCAAAATACGTACTTGGCTAAGCTCAGACACCAAACACGGTCTGCACTTCAACAGGCAGCAACAGAATACTCCATTCAGATCTTTCAGCTTGCTGATACATACTGTTGTGTTGCCGAGCCCCCTGGGGCCTCTCCTGCACACGTGCAGGTTTAATGGCCAAGCAAGGTTTTAGACATAATTTATGTGTAGGTTTCAGAGTTCACTTCCTTCTGTGGCCCCCTCCCCACATAATTTTCTCCAAACTGTCTGTAAAGAATCTGGCTCTCAGCCCTGGCTGGTGTAGCTCAGTGGATTGAGCGTGGGCTGCGAACCAAAGCATCGCAGGTTCGATTCCCAGTCAGGGCACATGCCTGGGTTGCAGGCCACGGCTCCCAGCAACTGCACATTGATGTTTCTCTCTCTCTCCCTCCCTTCCCTCTCTAAAAATCAATCAATCAATCAATCAATCAATAAAAAGAATCTGGCTCTCTGATGCCCTATACAGTACAGGAATTGGAGAGTGCCCTCAGGCAAAAAGCTACATTCTTACATTTTCCCCCTTGTTGATACCATCTTTCAAGAGCAGATTCTTTGCCAGTTTCTGTCTTTTTTGTTGCTGTTACTCTCCAGAGCTTTCAAACAGTTATTTTTAATAATATTTTGTCCAGGCTTTGTAATTGTTACCGGCAGGATGATTAACTGATCAAGTGATTCCATTATTGCTGGACAATATTTATTTTAAAGCCATAATTTAGTATCTGCTATATCCTAAACATTGTATAAAATGCTACATATATACAAAGATAGGAGAAACTACCCTTATCCTCAAGGATACCACTTTGTGTTGACGTGACATTATATATGTATCAAATATTTTTATACACAAAATATTTTATAGATAATAGGTACACCCATAGCTATATTTATGTGCAAATAAATGAAAATAGTTTTCTTACTTTTCTACTGCGGATCGTTTCTGTGACTTGCTCTTATAATTTAATGCCATCTTTGTTTCCATTCCAGTGTATACAGCAACACCTGCAAACAAAACAAAATAGTTTTTAAAATAATCTCCTAGCATGCTTCACAAGAGAAATGTACTCACCAGCATGAAAGCATCTAAGAAAATGCATGTTCTGACAGCTGTTACAATTAGGCTTTCCTTTTTTGGAATTTAAAAAGGCTTTCCAATTCCATTTTAAGGAACTCCAACTGCTCAAACTGCTGGATGAGGAAGGCCTCCTGGAGTTTCTGTTCCTGAGTTATAACTGAGATACGTGAATGAAAGGGATACTATCTGAGGTGCAACTGATGGAGCAGAAGGATTTGGAAAAAGAAAAATGGCAGGGAAGGCCATTACAGCTAGAGCAAACAGTGTTAACAAAGACAGACATGGAAAAGCACTTTCTGTTAAGTTGGGACAATAGACTGGGATCAGAGTGTGAAAAACCCTGAATGCCAGAATCTGGAGTCTGGACATAATTTCATTAGCACTGAAAGATACTATGGAAATCTATCAGAGTAAATAAAGTAAACACAAGGAAAGGGTCATCTGAAAAATCTGTGCACATGTGAACGACTCTTGAGATGAATCAGGACAGTAACAGTGGGACTAAAACTGGGGAGTGAATGAAATTAGGTAAGACCAGCCTTGTAAAAAACTTTGCCGGAATCAGATCTTGGTGTGAACATTAGCTCTGCCACTTACTAGTTCAGTGCCCTTGGGCAAGTTATTTAATCTCTCTAGTCTCAATTCCCCCACCTTTAAATGGGGGGGGGGGGACCCAAAAAGGAAACAAAAACCCTCAGAATTGTTGTGAGGTTTGTGTGACAAATTAGCAAAATGCCTAGAAACAGATAATCAATAAATGTTTATGCTCATTCGTAAGTAGTAAGATTTGAGAAACAGTGTAGGATTCATCATGCTCTCTTGATTAAGATTTGTCCTGGAATTTTTACCATTAGAATTATTCCTTAAAGGCAGAATTACAACTCAAATGCAAAGGGAACCAAAGTTATAGAAATCAGCCTGAATGATATAATAGAGAGAGGTGGTACTGAGGAAAAACAAGAGCAGACCCAACTAAAGTCATTCAAATACAAAACTTTTAAGAGCATGAGAAATTCTTACTGCTAGAGAAATGTGTTGAAATATAGCATTACATGACAGGGTTTAAAAGCATTGGCATTAGAGATTATTCTCTAGCTTCTACCATTTATTATGGTTTCCTCTTTTTAGATTGTGGTAAAATATATGTAGCATACAATTTACCATTTTAACCATTTAAAAATGTACAATTCAGTGGCACTGAGTATATTTGTAGTGTTTTGCAACTATCCTCACTACCCGACTTGACAACACTGTCATCAGCCCTAAAGAAAGCCCCACACTTATTGAGAAGCATTCCCCATTCCCTTCCACTACCCAGTCCATGAATCTACTTTCTGTCTCTTATGAGTTTGCCTATTCGGGGTCTTCAAATAAACGGGATCATACAATATGTGGCCTTTTGTGTCAGACTTCTTTCACTCAGCACAATGTTGTCAATGTTATCCGTGTTGTAGCATGAATCAGCAATTCATTTTTTTAAAGTAAATAATGTTCCACTATGTGGATATCCTACATTTTGTTTATATATTCATTAGTTTATGAACATGTGTGTAGTTTCTACCCTCTGACTATTGTAAATAGTGACATTATGAGCATTCCTGTACATGTCTTTGCTTCAACACCTTTTCAGTTCTTTTGGGTATATATCTAGGAGCAGAACCACTTGGTCACATGGTAATTCTACATTTAACTTATCGAGGAAATGCTGAATTGTTTTCTACAGCAGCTGCAACATTTACACTCCCATCAGCAATGTATGAGGATTTCAATTTCTCCACATCCTCAACCAACACTCATTTTCCATTTTTTAAAAAAGTATATGGATTTTTTAAATCAGAAAACCTAATTGTGAGAGATAAGATAGATGAAAGAACAGAATGCGGATGGACCTCAAAAGCTGTAAACATTCAGTAAATAACAAGCTGGTCAGTATAATTGATTTTTAATTAATTAATTAATAGATCTCCAATGCAAGAGCACTATGCATCCTTTTGGTCCACCTGATATACAGTCATATTGATAAGAATTTGTTGAATGAATGAATGAATGAGTCAGCAATTTTATCCATCCAATCTAAGAATAATCACAATGGAATTAATCATGGTTTACTATGCCATGACGCCAGACTACACTGATTCTCATCCACCATGAATGCCAGAATTATCTTCTTAGCACTCAGTTTCACAAGCATCAACAAAGAAAATACAAGAGCAAGGTTCTAGTCTATTACTCAGAAAAACAGGATTATTAACAAAAAATACAACCAAAATTATATTAACATGATTTTTATAAGAAAATTATCACAAGCAACATTTAACTAAGTAATAAGTTATCCAGTCAAAAGACCACAAATGCTGTACTTTTGAATATACTTCATATAAAGCATCAGCATGAATCTTTAATTAAACATTTTCAAAATATACAAACCAAAAATCTCTTTTGTGTTTTTTAATCTGGCTCCACGAAGCAAGAGACTCTCTGGTCCCAGAGGTCTAAGGGGGAAAAAAAGCATTAACTGTATTAAAATTTTAATTGAATTCTAAAATGTCATTTTCCACAGAAAGTACCTGAGTTATGGTTACAACACTACTTTTATACAAAAGCAAAATCTGAGCTATTATCTAGGTTGATCACAATATTAGTCACCAAAACAAAAACACCTGCTTTAGCATTTCAGTCACTTTAAGATCAGTGGCTCAGAAATAAATTATGCTGGTAAATAAACTCACAAAGCCACCAGACCGGTTCCAAAAATTTTAAACATAAAACACAACAAAATAAAAGGTTAAGCAATGATTTAAAAACATTTAACAGTAGAAATTGTGAGCAAAGTTAATAAATAGTTTTTAAAGGAAGTAGAGAATTAAATGCATTATTGACATAAATTGCAGTGTGATTTGTGTATAAATGCACAAGTTCTGCACAATTAAAATTACTCTGGATTATAAAACATGAGGTAGCGAGTGAGTTAGTTCTTGTCTAAGCACGACTGACACTACAGCTTGACTACTTGCATTGCATACTTCTTGGAGCATGGGTCTTCTTGCTGTTCAAATTTCTCTCCATAAAGGAGATATGAAATTAGAAGAAATAACTAGAAAGGAAATTGTACTTTTTTAGTGATAGCAAAATGATAAGATTCTGTAATGGATAACTTAAAAAGCCTTAAATTTTGTTGACGTCCCTCATCCTTTTCTGAAACATACCTATAAAGTCATCCAAATCAAACAGAATTGGGACCAATTCTGAAGATGTCTGCAAACCCAAACACTCTAAAAAAAAAATCCAACGAACCAGGAGGACCAGATATTTGGGACGTGGTTAACAAGTATGGTTTTAATAGCCAGTCATATTTGGAGCACACTACATGGATATTCCAAAATCAATTAACCAGGAGACACAAAATAGCTCTTTTTCACTTGGTGTTGACTCTTAACAATGAATAGAAAAACTCTGAGCTCACAGCAGTGTATACAACTGGGATATCTTGACAGAAAGCTTCAAATTTAAAGGTAATTCATCAGTACACTCTGGTTGCTTCAACAAAGAACATGGGTCATTTTTTTAACCATCCTAAGGGCTGAGGGAACATAATTGGTCTTTCCTTTTATTAGCCACAATATCTAATGCAATCCAGACTATACATCCACACATCTATCTCATTAAGTCATTACAGAAATCAAAATAAAAACCTAGTCACAGTTATTTAAGCAGGGGCCCTACACTTCAAAAGACTTTGTGACAGAGCTCATTAAAACATGCTGCTGTGTTAATGTTTGTAAAAAATGTGAATCAGTGCTGATACATGATATTTTTGGTGGCTTGTCTTGAGGAATTCATTTTTTTGAGGAATTCATTTAAAAAATACTGAACTTTTCATGTCAGTGATTTATTTCAAGCAGCCAATTTCATTAAACATGTCTCATAAAAAGGTAAAATGCTAATTTGATTTAGAAGTTCAAGGGATGATTCCAAGATTTATTTTAAATTTGGCTTCGTGGTCATGAATAACAATGTAATCTCACCCTGTTAGCAAATCTTTGAAATGACCCCAAGGCCTTTCATGTAGTAGCCAGAAATTAACCTGAATATTGAGGGAAAACAAACCAAAACAACCAGCCAAACAAAATAACCAATTAGAAGAGTAACTAAGAGGTTCTGAATTGGCCACTAAATACTCTAGTTTGTACTAAATGATTTTGAAATGAGTTAAGACTGAAACATTTATGGTTATTAAACATTATATAAAATGTTTTTTGTATTTTAGATTTTAAATGTGGTACATGAGGATTTGATTAAGAATATCTGCTTCCTTTTATGTTACTACCTGATATTATTAGAAAAAGAAATACAAATGCCCTGGTTGTGTGTAGCTCAGTGGATTAAGTGTGAGCTGCGAACCAAAGGGTCACTGGTTCCGTTTCCAGTCAGGGCACATGCCTGGGTCTTGGGCCAAGGCCTCCAGTGCGGAGTGTGTGAGAGATAACAACACACTGATAATTCTCTCCCTCTCTTTCTCCTTCCCTTCCCCTTTTTAAAAATAAAAATAAATTCTTTAAAAAATAAAAAAATACAAGTATACAAATAATCTTACTAACTTATTTTGATATTTCATTAAATTTGCTTCATCCTCACTTGCTGATGCTACAAATTACTAGAAGATAAAGTGCTAAGTGCTTTTAAAAGAACCTTTTCCATTATGTGCAGCTTGTTCATCTAATATACCTGCAACTTGATTTTTGTCTCTCCCACAAACAATGTGAATTTATTCTTACCTTACAATTTCTTCCATTTGTTGAGTTATTATCATTCGTCCCATGAATCTATCAAAGAATTCAGCATGTTACAAAACAAACAAACAAAAAACAATGACAAATTACTTATGACATCAACAGGTGGAAAACTTTAGATACTTTTGGCACTATTGTTATATGTGACACCAAATCAACCTTTTATATATATGAATGGTCCAATAATCATGTTAGAACTTATGAAATAGTCATTAAGCTTTAAAAATTGTAATATTCTTGCCACCCCACTACAGCTATGAATAAGGTAATAAATGAAAAAGTGTTTTCAAAATGGTGATTTAAATTATATTATTGCCTCAGCCAGCATGGCTCATTTGGTTGAGCGTGGCTTGTTGTCCTGCAAAGTGAAAGGCTGCTGGTTCAATTCCCAGTCAGGGTGCATGCTTGAGCTGCAGGCTGGTCCCCAGTTGTGGCACATGCGGGAGGCAACTTAATCGGCATTTCTCTCTCACACATGGATGTTTCTTTCTCCCTCTTTCTCCCTCTCTATCCCTTTCTCTAAAAATAAATAAATAAAATCTTAAAATGTTATATTACTATTATTAGTTTCATCATCATGAGAATTTGTAATTGCTACACAAAGATGTATACATTATTTAGCCATTAATGAGTGCTCACATATTTCGTCAGTTTACTAAATAAGATTCCTTCTTGTGATTAGAATCATTCATGTACTTATTCATGCATTCATTTGTCCAACAAATACTCACTGAATAACTACTACATGTGAGTTAAGTGGTGGCGACAGAGTAGTAAGCAAAAGCCTATCAGTGAACTCCACAGCTTCTAGAGTTATCAATGAAGTATCCTTTATCTGGGGTTTCAGTCCCAACTTCCACTACTGTAACAGCTCCATAGCACAAAGTCAATTTAAATGAACAATTACTTTCTACTACAGTGAGAAGTAAATTTTGAGTTGAAGCACATTCTAGCAGAGTATCCTGTTAATCACTTAACTAGGCAAGGCAGTATTAAGCATTCCCTATCAAATGTCCCCTATTTATTCCTTCTATTTCCAGGTCACAGATGCTTTGTCCCTTTGGCTTCATTGTTTCTTGCAAATCTCCTCACAGAAGAGCATTATATTGTTTTGTTTTTTAAAATCTCCACTTAATGGATTTTATGTAATCTTGTTTCTAATTTCAACTTCGGATTTGGATGTAAAGCACCAGTTCATGTAGAGTCTCTCTGGGCATCCTTCAGAGATGATGAAGACCACTCCTTTGATTTTCCTGAGCACGATTCCAACAAGAGAATTCCTGTTTTCCTTCATTTATCTGTCCTGTATCCCTGATTCTAAGGCATTCCTTGTTGGTTCATGCCAGTTCCATGCTGGATTAACTCATCTTGTACTTTCCTTGGCCCTTTCTCCAAAGTCACACTTTTATTTGTTTCTAAGCAAAAATAGTTTTATTATTCTTTTTGATATAAAATGATTCATATAAAGAAGATATTAACAGGGAAATAAATACTACCACAGGTAATCCCACTACTCAAATACAAACACTGCTATTATTTTGGAATACATTTTCCAGGCTTTTCCACGCACATATAGATAAACACGTATCTTTTAAAAAACAAAAGATAAGTCATACCATAAATAGTGTTGATAACATTCCGCCCCCTCCCCTTAACCTGTCCTGTCAAAAACACAGATCTATATCATTATTTTAAAAAAGATTTTATTTATTTATTTTTAGAGAGAGGGGAAGAGAAAAAGAGAGGAAGAGAAACATTGACTGGTTGCCTCTCCCACGCCCCCAACCAGGGACCTGGCCGGCATCCCAGGCATGTGCCCTGACCCACGGGCCCTTTGGTTTGGAGATGACACCCAACCCACTGAGCCACACCATTACTTTTCATAGCTGCACATAATACTGCATTTTGGGGTTACTGTATAATACATTTAAACAATTCACTACTGATGGGAGCTTATGTTTTTTCCAACTTACATATCATCTAAACCAGTGATTTCCAACTTTTTTCACTGCATAAACTACTAAAATTTTGCAGCACACCAAAAAATACATTTTGTGCTGATCTGACAAAAAATAGGTTTAATTTTGATTTACTGACTGTAGCCATTTTTTATTTGACAATCTAAGGGAAAAGAGGTCACTGCCCCTAAGTAAGTAGTCAGGTATTGCATGTTTTAAAAATTCTTGAAGCACACCAGTTGAAAATCTCTGGTCTAAACAATGCAGCCCTGAAAAACCTGTGTACATAACTTTTTACATTTTCATTAAGGTAAGTCCCTAGGAATAGTAGAATTTCATTATTTTGTTATGAAAAAATTCCTAGAAGTGGAAGAGCCTAAGAAATTAAGAGGTGGAAAGAATAAAAAACTAAAGGAGTAAAAGAGCCAAGGAAGAAGAAAATGGAGAGTGCTGTGAACTACCTGTGAGAGGCTGCTCCTAAACAAAAGGCTCTCCTGGTTTTCATTTCTTCCAGTTGTATGGCAAAGGTCATTTCTTATCATATGCTATCCTCTCTCAATAAGCTATTAAAGTTCTTTAAAAAAATATAATGTAACCCCAATTAATCAACAGGTAATTAGGGAGGATTCAACAATGTTCAAGGAAGAAGAATTAATAACCAAAAATGTTTAGGCTTTCTAATAAAAAGTAAATTAAAACCAGAGTTTTAAAATTATGAAACTATTATCTACAAAATTAACAAAAATATAAAAACTATAATATTTAATACTAGTATAATTCTGAAACAATAAAAACTCCCCCATAAACTTACACTTTGCTCATGGCAATAAAAATTAGTCCAAAGCTTTTGGTGAAGTGTCAGTATGTTTATGAAAGGCCAAACTCTATTAGTACTTTAATCTAGTAATTCCTTTTCTTCAGGAACTACTGGATTCTTCCAGTAGAATCCAGGAATTCTACTGGATTACTGGATGTCTGTTCTTTGGGAATCTAGTATTAGATTACAAACTGTAAGAGGCAAGAACTATCACTGTTTCGTTACCATTGTATTCTCAATTTCAGTGTACGTGCTGTCGAGTGAGCACAGTATTCTCAGTGTCCAGTACTATGCCTCAATTATTGGAGGCACTCAATATAGCTGATGGAGGAATGAATGGACAATAAAAATATTCACACACCGTCTGAGTAATATTTTGGAACTCTATCATTCATCCATTCATTCAATATTTATTGAGTGTCTACAATGTGCCTAGTATTGTTCAAATCAATTCAATAGTAAAGGGAACTATATACACAAATTTGCTTGCCTATATCACAAACAATTCAATAAAAGGAAAAATTTAACTGCATTAATATAAGTACATAAAAATATTTGGGTTTTTCCCTTGTCAACAAATACGTAGTAAGGCCTCCTATATGCTAGATCTGTTCTAGGTGCTTGCAACACATCAGTGAATAAAACACACACAGATGCCTGCCCTTCAGTTTATACTGTAGTTGGAGAGATAATAAACAATAAACAAATCAATTACATAATATACAAAGAGGTATTACTATGTGTTATAAAAAGGGAAAGCAGAACAGGGTAAGAATTAGGTTGCAGTATTAAATACTCAAAGTTGGCCTCACTGAGGCGATTTAAGCATAGACTAGAAGGTGGTAAAGGAGTTAAGACAAGGAATAGCCAGTGAAAAGGTGGCAGTGAATCCGTATGTTCAAGGGAAAATAAGGAGGCCAGTGTAGTTGATGTGTGAACAAGAGGGAGAGTGGTCAGAAATTAGGTTAGAGAGGAAAGGCTGGGGATAGGGGCAATCATTCAGTAAGGTCTTACAGGTCATTATAAAGACATGGGTTTTTGACTCAGTAAGATGGAAAAGTCACTGCAGGGTTTTAGCAAAGGAATGACATGACATCACTCACATTTTAAAAGGATCAATCTGGTTGCTTTCGTGAGAACAGACTGCAAGGGAAAGGAGGGTTGAAACAGAAAATCTGGTAAGAATGCCCCTGATAGCAGTAAGCCAGGTAGGAGGTGATGCTGACTCACACCAAATTACTGGCAGTGAAATTAGTGAAAGGTGATCAAATTTTGGGTGTATTTTGCAGGTAAACCAGTAATGTCCTGATGGGTTGGGATGAAATGTGGGAGAGGGGGTTAGGAGGCATGAGCAGAGAGGTGATGTGGGGAGTCATGGCTGAGGCTGACTCCAGGGGTTTTGGCCTGCAGAATTGGAAAGAGGGACTGTCTTCAACTGAGACACGGAAGACTGTTCAGATAAAAAGATTTGTAGGGAAGATCAGAAGCTCTATTCTCAACATGACTAATTTAGAGTTCTAAATGTAAGTAGAGTTGTAGAACATGAAGTTGGATATGAGAGTGTGAAATCTGGGAAAGTGTGGAATCAAGATACGAATCTGGAGTTAGCATGTAGGATGGTCTTTAAAGCCATCACCTTGGATGAAGTCATCAACTGAGTGTAGATAGTGAAAAGTATAGGTAGGGAAGGGAGGAGGACCAAGGACAGTCCTGTCCTAGGGCACTCTAACATTAGAAGTCAGGGAGAAGAGGAGATATCAGCAAAAGAGATTGAAAGGAGAAAAACCAAGAGAGGGCAGCATCCTGGGAGGCAATTGAATTAATTGTATCAGAGAAGAGAAGCAATGAACTAACTATCCAGCTACTGAATTTTGAATTGATGAAGTTATTTGTAATAAGGCACCACACAATATTTGTAATAGCAAAACAATGGAAGAGTTAGATATTTAAAGATTAGTTAATGGCCAGGTTCTAGTATGCTTACACAATCATGCAGCCACTAGAAATTATTATTAAGGCCCCGGCTGGTATGGCTCACTGGATTGGCCTGCCTGGAAACTTAAAGGTCACTGGTTCTATTCCCAGTCAGGGAATCTACCTGGGTTGCCAGCCAGGTCCCTGGTTCAGGGTGTGCAAGAAGCAATTGATTGATGTTTCTCTCACTTATCAATATTTCTTACCCTCTCCTTCTCCCTCCCTTCCCCTCTCTCTGAAAATAAGTAAAATTAAAAAAAAAGATTAAGAATATTGTATAGTAAAATGGAAAATAGTTTTTTAAAATTAGAAAAGCAATCAATATTCTTGGAAGAAATATTAGAAAATATGGAGAAAAAAAGTAAATAAAAAACAGCTGAATGTAATTCCTCCAGGTTTTTCTTTCTCTCTGTACCTACCTATTATTCTATTCTAAACTATCACATACATAAAATACATTCAAAAAATATAATTGGGATCGTATTAAAGCTACAACTCTGTATCTTATTTAACATTATATTTCAGTATATTTCTATGTCATTAAGTTCTCTGGAAACATTTTTTATAATTTATATATTTCCGTTGTATCTGTACCATATTCCCACTTAAATACTCTCCTAGGCAGATACTTAAATGCTTACAATATTGCCATTATAAGCAACATATAGAAAAGTGAAAAATGTAATTTTATATATGTAACATCTTTACAGCTGAGTTTCTTAAGGATAGAATCCATGCTGATTCATCTTATTTCTTACCTACCATAATGAATACATCAGTGCTCAACAATAATTTGTTGAATGAATAAAAATAGCAATACATTTAAGTATGAGTTATCTTTCCATTACATAAGTGTTCTGTAGTAGTTACCTTTATATTTAAAACAAAATATATACTTTCAGAAAGGAAGAGGAAAAGAGAAAATAAAGAGGAACACCTTATATTTAACAGTGAATTATTTACTATTAAAAAAAGTTTAACTTTTTCCACATTTTCTAAGATAATATAAAAACCATCCATCAACACATTAGTCATATTCAGCTCACATAAATCTTATGCCTGTTTAATGCTCCATTTTCTAGCTTTTAACAATTTTTTATAACTCACCACTGTTTGAGACAAGGGAATAATAGGAATATAGAAATGTTAAAGTATTAAATTCTTTACAGTTAAATCTTATAGTTTTAATGCTCTTAAAGAATAGAACCCTAAATTTTTATAGTTAATTGGAAAACTCTATACCTTATTTGACTGTGATGAAACTGTAAATTTTTATAACATCACATAGAGAAAACCCCATTATAAATAGTATCTAGATCCCAAACAAATTATGTTAAGACATTATGGAAGAGCCAATGACTAATGATAAGATGTGAACACTTCAACCAATAGAGGGAGACATATCATTTGATAAGCTGAAGGTGAATTTTACAATGTGGTTGTTAATTTATATTCTATCACCAGTTACTCAGTAAAAATGAGTTTAATATTTCACTTTAACAATAAAAAGTTGTTTGCCCTGGCTGGCGTAGCTCAGTGGATTGAGCACGGGCTGCGAACCGAAGTGTCGCAGGTTCAATTCCCAGCCAAGGTACATTCCTGGGTTGCAGGCCATAACCCCCAGCAACCACACATTGATGTTTCTCTCTCTCTCTCTCTCTAAAAATAAATAAATAAAAACTTAAAAAAAAAGTTGTTTCTATTTCATAGCCCACAATAATTATCATATCACTGAAAGATGACTTACACTGCATTTAGTAAATTACGTTAAAAGGAGTTAGTTCCGAGTGACTACAAAGACATATCTATCATATAGTCCTTGCCTTCATGGAGTATACACACACACACAATTACTTTCTTTTAAAGAAATAATTTTACTTTTCCTATAGCTACTTTTACAGTTACAAAGTTTAGCATTATAGTTATAAAGCCAGTTCATATAGAAGTAAAAGGTAATAAAAAAGAACATTTGAATGCAAGCACTGCTTCTGAATTAATACTTTGGATTAGAATTCCGGCAAATTCTGCTTTTAGCCTTTTCCCCCTGAACTGATCTCTCCACTTCCTCTCAATAATCTCTTCAATTAGCTAAAGATTCCACTGTATGTTTATAATTATAAAAGTGAGATCTGGGACAGGACTTAAGATGACTACACTGAATATCACACCATACCTGTACAAGTCGGCTTCTGGTTGCTGACACTCTACCACAGCTACAAGAGTGTCCAAACTGGCGACCGTCTGTAATACTGCTGTCTCTGGCACTGCCACGTGTGTCTAAAACGAGGATTAAATGGAAGTTTCAAGACCCAAATGGGACCCTATATATCATCTTTTTTTAAAAAATAATTTTTTCTATTCTAGTTGACATACAGTATTATACTGGTTTTGCATGTACAACTGCATGATTAGACATTTATATAACTTATGAAGTGATCGCCCAATAAATCTAGAGCCAATCTAACACCCAATATAATTATTACTATTTCATTGACTATATTCCCTACGCTGTACTTTATATCTCCATCTATTTCAAATCCCCCTCATCTAAAAAAGCACCAAAATATTAATATATTTTATTTTCCCTAAAACACTTCCCATTTTTCTTTAACTTGACTAAACCATGTAAGGCTACACTTGAAATAGATAAATAACATTATTAAAAAAACCTTAAAAATTCTTTAAAATTTTAGTAATTTAAAAGAATTTACCAGGTCCAACTTCACTACCTTAACCAAAGAAAATTCCCTATTACTACAATACAAAGACATTTTGTTCACAAGAACACTGATACGTATACATGTACAAACCTTCAGGTTAGTTTCTCCATCCAAACTAGCAGTTGTAATGTGACAAGAACCATCAAGTCGATCTGAGGACAGAAGCACCAAATCTGCAGGGAAAATTTCATCTTTGGCTATTCGAACAATATCACCCACCTATGAAGAATTTTGGGGAGAGTGAATATACTGATTTTAAAAGGCATGGGCTTATTTTATTGGGTTCTAACCAAGTGGTCTATCCCAATATTTCAATGTAGGAAAGTAGGCTTTTAATTAAAATATAATCAAATTAGATTTTGTGACACCAAAATATACTTGATAGCTATTATTTACTAAGTACATACCCGAATGTTTTTTGATCTAGTCTTTACAAGGCCACCACTTCGAACAACATAAACAGGAGCTCCATTTACTTCATTATCTGAGTTATGTCGTAACCAATCTTCATATCCCTGTCAATATAAAAAATAAATAAGTGCCCTCTTTAGTAGAATTAGAAGATACTTTTAAAAAATTTTTTTTTAAAATTTTATAGTACATTTTGTTGATTATGCTATTACAATTGCCCCACTTTTGTCTCCCCTTTATTCCCCTCTGCCCTGCACCACCCCTCCCACCAGCATTCCTTGCCCCTTAGTTCATGTCCATGGGTTGTACATATTAAGTTCTTTGGCTTCTCCACTTTCTATACTATTCTTAGCATCCCCCTGTCTATTTTCTACCTACCATTTATGCTTCTTATTCCCTGTACCTTTTCCCCTATTCTCTTCCCTCCCACTCGCCGCTGATAATCCTCCACAAGAGCTCCATTTCTGTGATTCTGTTCCTGTTCTAGTTGTTTGCTTAGCTTGTTTAAGCAAACAAGCTTAAGTTTATTTAGGTTTGGTTGTTGATAGTTGTGAGTTTGTCATTTTACTGTTCATATTTTTTATCTTCTTTTCTTAGATAATCTCTTTAACATTTCATGTAATAAGGGCTTGGTGATGATGAACTTTTTTAACTTGGACCTTATCTGGGAAGCACTGCATCTGCCCTTCTATTCTAAATGAGAGCTTTGCTGGATAGAGTAATCTTGGATGTAGGTCCTTGCTTTTCATGACTTTAAATATTTCTTTCCAGCCCCTTCTTGCCTGCAAGGTTTGTTTTGAGAAATCAGCTGACAGTCTTAAGGGAACTCCTTTGTAGGTAACTGTCTCCCTTTCTCTTGCTGCTTTTAAGACTCTCTTCCCTATCTTTAATCTTGGGTAATATAATTATGATGTGCCTTGGTGTGTGCTTCCTTGGGTCCACCTTCTTTGAGCTTCCTGGACTTCCTGGAAGTCTATTTCCTTTGCCAAATTGGGGAAGTTCTCCTTCATTATTTTTTCAAGCAAGTTTTCAATTTCTTGCTCTTCCTCTTCTCCTTCTGGCACCCCTATGATTGGGATGTTGGAACATTTAAAATTGTCCCGGAGGTTCCCAAGCCTCTCCTCATTTTTTTGAATTCTTGTTTCTTCCTTCTGTTCCAAATAGTTTATTAGAGTCCCAGTTTTCCTTCCTGTCACTATTGGTTCCCTGCATATTTTTCTTTATTTTCTTTGTATAGCCTTCCCTTGTTCCTCTATTTTGTGACCATACTCAATCATTTGTGGTTGAGTATGGTCCCCAAATAGAGGGAAAAGTGAAGGCACGATGATTACCAATGTTTTGAGCTCTGCATCTGATAAGGTTGGCTATTTCTTCATCCCTTAATTCTATTTTTGGAGCTCTGATCTCTGCTTTCATTTGGGCCGTATTTCTTCATCCTGACACACCTCTTACATTGTAAGGGGTGGAGTCTTAGGTATTTGCCAGGGTGGGGCAACCCACATCTCTGGGTTGTGGTGCTATATGTGGGGGAGGGGTCAGAGAGGGAACAATGCCACTTGCTCAGCTCTTGGCTGGCTTTCATTCACTTCCCCCGCTTCCCACAAGCAAATTGGGCCCTTCTGGTTCCCGGGTAGATGAGTTTGTGTATGTTCTACGACCCTGTGGGTATCTCCAATGAACTCTCCTGTGAGGCTGGGAGTTTCTCACACTGTCGCAACCCTTACAAGGTTTTTATAGCCAGAGGTTTTTGAGGCTTTATTTCCCTCCACTGGAACCCTGGGTTGCTTGGTCAGTCTCACTCCCAAGTTGACCCACGTGCAAAAGTGGGACTGGCCAGTCCTCCAGCCTGCGCCCAGCTGCGAGTCCTCTACGCTCCAGTTGCCTATCTCCACTCCTCCTACCAGTCTGAATGAATGTTTTAGAAGATACTTTAATTAAACAACAAAAAGAAACATAAAAACATAAAAACACAAAACATTTCACTCACCAGATTTATACTAAGCTATTTTGAAGCATATACTCATAGGAATTTGACACTCAAAAAATACTAGGAACAGTCTCTTCTCTTGGTTTTCATCATACACACACGTTCCTGGTTTTTATACCACCTCTTCGTTACTTCTTCTCAATTTCCTCATGGGAGCTTCCTTCTAGGTCATCTTTATGGGCCCTGTTTTGACCCATCACTTTCTCACTACAAGATTCTTCTATATCTGTGTCTTTAAAAATGTCTAAAATTTATACCTCCAGTTCATATCTTCCTTTTAGACTCTAAACTTGAATATCCAAATACATTCTTAACATCTCCATTTTGATGTCTCATAAAATATATTAAACATTTCAAAACTAAATTGATGATGTTATTCTCTAAATCATGTTCAGTGTTTCCCATCTTGACAAATGACATCTACTGAGTTGCTCATATTAGAAATCTGGGGAGTCATTTTTGACTCCTACCTTTTCCTGACACCTATTCAATCAATAAGTTCTATTGCTTCTATATAATACAAGTGATATTTTAAACATCAAAATATAAATTCATACAGCATTATTACAGACAATAAGTAGAAAAAAATGAACAGATTTTAAAACTGAGGCTGAATTATTCCACTTTCTTAAAGGTCAGTACCATTATTATTTGTACTTCTAAAAAATATGGTAGGTTATGTGGATCATCATTATAAAGGGAAATAGATATACGCATTTCACAAAGAACACTTTGATTAAATGTTAAGAAGAAGCATTTTTTAAATGGAAAAACTTCTTGTGTTTTTTTTAGAGAAAATCCAAGAACTCAGAGGTATAGAACAAGATAACAAAATATCTGATAGCATTAAGTGATAAAAGTAAGGTACAAAATGTGTTGTGTTCTATGCTTTATTTGTGGAAAAAAATACACTTTTCTTTGAAAACACTCTGTATAGGTGTCTGGACTAATGTACAAATAATGGTTCCCTCAGGAGAGAAGAACCAGGAGACTGGGGGTTTAGAAGTATAAGCGACTTTTACTGTATGTTATTTCATACTGTTCCTATTTTTTAAAATATGTGCATCTATTACCTAAAAATATTATAACATTATAAAATACAAAGCAAATATTAAAAATTGCTTGAAGGCCATTTTTTTTTCCAGGGAGAAAACTTTTGGCAAAGCATTCTTAAAATACTTAAATTATGTGGCCCTGGCCAGGCAGTTCATTTGGTTAGAAATGTTATACCAATACACCAAGACTGGGCATTTGATCCCTGGTCAGGACACATACAAAAATCAACCAACAAATGCATAAATAAGTGGTACAACAAATCAATGTTTCTCCGTTTCTCTCTTTCTCAAATCAATAATTTTTTTAAAAAATCATATGACCTTTCATATTTCCTCTTTTGCTTTAGTTGTCAAAAAGGTCTCTATAAATTTAGTATTTAACTTTAATAACCATGCTAATAAAGGTCTGAGGTATAATCTTCCTGTGTCTTACTTTTAGATATTAAGTGTTTTTACTTAACCCATGTTGGAAGGAAACAGGATGTCAATAATAATAATAGTTATTATTATTATTTTAAACTCTCCTATTTTGTAGACATTAAATTCACCAGCATTTTTTTCAACTTGGTTAATGGCATCACATTCCAAATAAACCCAGTCTATACTTGGCTAAATATATATTGGGAAACCAGGGAAAGAAGTGTTGCAACATTTTTAATTGCTTTAAAAAAATACTCAGTAGGCCTGGCCGTTGTGGCTCAGTGGATTGAGTGCTGGCCTGCGAACCAAAGGGTTGCTGGTTCGATTCCCAGTCAGGTTAGTTGCCTGGGTTGCAGGCCAGGTCCCCAGTAGGGTGGTGTGTGAGGGGCAACCACACATTTACATTTCTCTCCATCTCTTTCTCCCTCCCTTCCCCTCTGTCTAAAAAAATAAAATAAAATTGTAAAAAAAATACTCAGTAGATTCACAAATTCATATAGAGCTAAACATTCAAATGATTAACATTCAAATAAACATTCTAACCACAAGGTGGTCAGAAAAAGCCTCAGCTATCCAAGTGGAAACGTTGCACAAACAGTTGTATATTGTGTCAGAGTTCAGGGAATAGTTTCAGGGTACATACATATTTGAGAACCACCAACACGTAAATGGCACTTCAAGCCACTGCACTGGGATGAAATCACGTAAGAGGAAATTATGCATGGAAAATAGGTTTAAGGCAAATATGTGTTACTGTGATGAAATAAACGGCATCTGCAAAGCCAAGTAAGTATGTAACTGTATGAAGTAATTTGGGTGCTTATTGACTTACAAAGTCTCCAAAAGAACAGTAAAGAAAGGGAAATCAAACATTGAGATCAGTAAAGTGCTATTCTGACACATCATACACATAACGTAATTATTAAAATATACTACATCACAGAATTACAAGATGTTTGTCAATTTTACTTCCACTTCAATTTAAACCTTATCCCTAAACCTTATAAAAATGAAAATTTATCATATTTACACAAGAAAATTCAGTGAAATCTCTTTCTGATGGAAGGAACCATCTCTGTATAATTGAGTCTCTGCCAAGACTTTTGAGAAATGGTAGCTATAAAGATATAACATTTCTACAAATTTCTTCATTTCTTACTTGGCATGTTCATCCAATAACACTGTTTTTTCATACTTAGATTTTAATACCAATTCAAGACTTGGTTGAAGCTATTTCCCCTAGGGTACAACTTTACATAAAAATCAACTTCAGAGAAAAGTGGTAAAACGTAGGAAAGCACCATACAATTTTTATTCAAAATGTTCATACTAGAAGTAAGCATACATGCTCTATTCCCCATAAACATTTCCCTTCTGAACTGTATTTCTTTCAACTATTGCCAAATTCTACAAAGATGATTATACTATTAACATTTTATATATAATTTAATTTGTAAATGTAAAATGCTTATTTTAAGATGCTTCCTAGGTGTGTCAAGAGAACAACATATTTTAATGCTAATCATACTAAGGATCACCAGAAATATAATAGTGTGGCTTAATTTAGTTTAATTTTACCATCCATGAAACCAAAAAAATTTGCTGCTTTCTTATGGAAATTTTTTTCACATCAATAAATGTTACTTCTGAATGGACATACTTAGCAACTTACAAATGGCCTGGGGGAAATAAGAATAGAAAGCATTTCATACCTGTTTTATGGCAGTTACTGTTATTACAAAGAATAATGGAAGCCCACTGGTAATTGGACTGGTAGGTGTATCAATCATAAGCTAGATTAAAAAAAATGCAGAGTATTATAATTTTATATTGTACACATCACACTATTAACATCTTAGATCCCAGATGTACTGGGAATTCTGAGAACAAACACTAAAACAAAATGTCACCACAGTTCACAGTAAAAAATAATAGGAGGGACATATCATGTAGTGACTACAGAATAGTTTAGTTCAGTTTTACAAGTTCACTTTGTTGGCCATTACATGCATACCCACAAATACTGTTAGAGTGGACTCAGTCACAACTCTCCCTTCTTCACATAGAGGACTTCAGGTCTTCCGCAATATTTGCCTGGAAGTGGAGCTCCAGCTGCTCAGACTCTTATTTCACATTTCTTTGCCCATCCTGATAAATGCTGAAAAGTCTGTCAGCAATTTTTACTCTGGGATTCAGAATAAACTCACCACTTAGGGAGGCAGAACAAAGAATGGGACTAAGGAAAGGGTTTTTATTCCATTAGAGATTTTATTAAATCTAGCAGAGCCAGAGGGGGTACAGCTTAGAAAACAATGCTGAAGTGATTAGCTAAATCATACAACTGAGGTTTCAATAAACTGCTGGAGAAATAAAAAATTTTTTGCAGTAATTATGTTTGGCTAGTTACAACATGGATCTATGATTTATTAATGCTCCTTTATGCCACAGAGGCCAATTACATTTGTTCTATTACACAGAGAAGCTAAATTCCTGATCTTAGCTGGTAATTTCACAAATGCATGCTATGTGGACATGGTTAGTATGAATTTCTCACTTTTCTGAGAAAACCAAGCTGACAGTCTATTGATTAAAAAAAAATCAGAAGTTTCTTCTCTGTTCATGAAGGAAACAATTTTTTTGAAAAAAGTAAATGTTTCTTTAAGCTTTAAAGTAATAACTTGCCAAGCATTCTTTTTCTTTTGAAATCCCAGATTCTATTGAGAGAAAAGTTCAGAGTTCATACAAAAATTCAATGCCACACTGAAAGAGATTGTTAAAGTATAAGAAAAAAATAATCTTTTGAAAAGAAAATGACAATAACTATTTTTAAATCTTGACTCATACTCATGTTTCATAAGCTCTTTTCTTGATATTTTGATATCAGAAAAAAGCAAATGTGAAATTAAGAAAATGTTAAACAGTCTATAATGAATACAGATTCAAGTTAAGAAAATGATCTCCTGGATAAAAATCTGTTTTCATGGTGATTCTCAAAGATTTGTTTTTTTAAATTTTTAAACATCAAAGTAAAGCCGACATAACATAGAAAAATTTACTCTGTACCAAAATGGTTCCACAGGCAGAAATGTGCCAAAAACATATGCTGTATATTAAAAGACACACTATTTATGTTCTGAAACATCTTAAAGATGATGTCAATTTCTTGGCTTTGATTATGGTTATGAGCATCCCAGCACATCAATAATAAAACAAAACAGAATTAATCTTAAAATTCATTGGCTAGTTTTTAGCAATTGGGATGTGGTTAAATCACTGTAATTCACTGAATACAGTGGGGAAGCTCTACAGGAAAAAAAAATACAGTTCCAAAATCAAATGATTTAGAATACAATGTAACTTTTCCCTGAAGATATATTTTTAGAAATTTTATCTATAAAATTTAACAATGTACTAAGAGACAAAGCTTACCTGAACCAAAAATATAATAAGAAAATAAAAGTTTGCAACTCTTCTGAACTGTTCAAATAAGTTCTTTGGAACAAAATTCCACACAGTATACTAAAAAAAAGAGAGAGAGGAGACAACAAATTAATATTCAAAAATAACATATACTATATGGATATAAGAAAAGTAAAATCAGATTTACTAAGCTCTTAGACAAATTCATATAACTTTTTTTAATGATTAAAATGTATTGGATTTATTTCTTTCTAAAGTTTGTAAAAAATACAGACTGCTTCATGAATATGCATGTCATCCATGCAGAGGGGCCACACTAACCGTGTCTGTGTCATTCCAATTTTAGCATGGGTTTGCTGAAGTGAGTACTCATGAAACTCTCATGTCGAGACTCTCAGTCGATGCTGCTGAAACTATTGGGGTTTTATAGTCAGGACTTTTATTTTACTATTTACTAGCAATTTTGATATAATTTTAAAAAATGAGATAAACTGTAACCTAGAAATTTTGCTACTAAATTCTTGATTTTTTAGAAGCTAGAGACAGCAGATCTAAAACATTTTTGTAAAAAAAAATTTTATGGTATTATTGGTTAATAAGATTATGTAGGTTTCAAGTCTACATTTCCATGATACATAATTGTATTGTGTGCCCACCATCGAAAGTCAAATCACGTTAATATTTTAATAATTTATTTTGCACTTTGGTTACTGCACAAAACTAAACATAATGCTAAAGATAAATACTGATAGAAATGCTTACACTAGGTATAATCTGTTTTATATTTTTACATAACTCACTGTCAGAAATAGAAGAAATGGTATAATTATTCAATTATTTATTGGTAAGTATAGAATATGGAAAAATAATCCAGAATGTGAAAATTTTTTTAAAAATACTTTAGGCACGTGATCAATGGAATACCTACCCACCAAGAAAATCTCATACAGAAAAATCTGTATGACATGAAAATCTGTCACAATGTCAGTTTTTCAAGTAAAACAGTCAAGTATGATGGTTAAGAATATAGACGGTAGTGGGTTAAACTGCTGGGGCCTACATACTAATTCAAGGTCACTAAAGACCCTGGAACTTAATCTCTCTGCGCCCCACTTTTTCCCTCTATGAAAAAGGAGGGCAATAATCATCATGTTGTATTTTATAATCATATTGTTATAAAGATTAAATAAACTAATAAGTTTATAAAGCACTTAAGACAGAACCTGGCTCATATTAATTGCTATGTATCTGGTATATTATTAATTAACTCATAGGGGGAGGGTACAAATACAGTACAAATTTTACTTGTGTCACTCACTACTCACAACACAACTTCATTTATAAACAGGGAAACAGTTTATAGCACTGTTCCTTTACCCTGTATACATTCTCCCAGTTGAGTATAAGATCTAAGGATAGGAATATTCTTTTATTTATCGATCTATCCAGCACTTATACCACTACTTGGCACATAGCTGGAGATCAAAACTTGAATAGGATAGAAGATAAATATGGTAGAAATTATTTTTCTCTTTCAGCTAACTATCCTGATGTCAGGCAATGAAGCCTTAATGATTACTGACTATTTAAGATATTTAAAGAAACATTTTACCTAATTTTCTCTGGTGTGATGTAAGATGGTTCTAATTTCTAAAATTTTGTATGTGAAAAATTCACTTCTTAATCAGTTGGTTTAAGACTTGAAACTTTCTTTTCCATATGAACAACTTTATAAATATGGCTGGGTTCCCAGAAGAGCGAGCCCACAAATGCCTATTTGACTCAAGGGTATATAAAGAGTTGTACAATACCTAACAACCTGTTTTCTTAGGTGAAATTATATTTTTCAGTCCTAATCTCAGATACCTGGAACCTATTTTCCTACAGTCGAACCAGTGGCTTCAGCTTCTGGGATTGGGAATTAAGCACTAGAGAGAAGATAGGTAGATCCTTCCTGGAACCAAAAGAAGTTATTGTTCAATACCTACATATGAAATAGTAACTCTGACTGAAATCACCTTCAGCTGATCATAACTAGAGTTAAAATACAATTGTCTCTACAGGGGTCAGAGTATCCATGTAACTTCCCAATCATCAAATCAAATGCATAAAATTTATAAGAATGAGACTGACAATACGTAAGTTCATTTACACATTAACTACCAGCCACGGCATCAGTCTTTTCGAATCATAACAGTGACAATATATTTTGTCTTCCAGAATCTTGAAAAGAGCAACTACATAAATTGGCAGTAAGGTAATTGGGTTCAGGACATTTTCTTTGGATAGCTCAATAATGCAATGAAAAAACTCGAAATAAATAAAAATTGCTTGTGAAAACTAGCTTATAAATGTTAGGAATAGTTGTCTGCAGGTTTTCTAAAATACATACACATTAATAGATTGAATGAGTCTAAATTCTGTGCTTGCCCTGTCATATACAGAAGGAAACTGGTAAAATAATAGTAAACAATATGAAAATACTCTAAAAAAAACTATTATGGTTTTAAAATTTGAATTATGTAATAATAGTCAAGAAAAATGAATTAGAAGTATAAGTTCTCTGCAATTATGTCTATGACTGTATAATTTACCTTTTTTCCTCGTATGGTCTAACATTAGTAAGAAAACCAAAACACAGATATAAAATTAAATCTTTTGCAAAGAAGTTTAAATGTAAAATAAGGAAGTTACTATGATAAATTAAATTAAACCAACAGATATCATTCACTTACAATGTGTGAAACACACTTTATAGGAGGAACAATGATAAATTCAATATTAAATACAGGAGATTAAAAACAAATAGCAATAGCTGCAATTCAAAGAAAAATAAATGAAGCAATAGCTGAACACAAAGAATTAAGAGGAAAAGCAGTCACTGAGAAAGAAAACTTTAATAAAGAAGGTCATACTTGACATGGGCTTTAAGAGAGGAACATTCACAGGCTGAAAATAGAGGGCAAACACAGGGAGAACACTTCAGGAAGGAAGGACAGTATGAACAAAGGTAAAGAGGAGGAAAGTTCACCATGGCTTTCTGGGCTAAAAAGTAATGCTGTCTGGAGGAGTTTAAGGGAATAATGGTGGAATAAAAGGTAGTATAAAGGAAATAACAGAAGCAAGCCTCATTTATGGTCAGAAAAACAATTTACACTGTATAAATGTCTACATTCTTGAAATTGTGGTAAAAAAACATGAATTTTATTTTTCTACAAAAACATAAAGTATATTTTTAAAAACTGTGGTTATCAACACAAAATCATAGCAAAGATACAGTGGTAGGGAAACTTAACATAAGTTTATGGAATAGCAGGTAATACGGCTTGCAAGTAGTTTAAGAAAGCAGTAGTGGAATAAGAAGGAAGTAATAATAATAAGGGAATAATGAAAGAGTTTTCAAGGAAATGTTTATTTCAATATCTGCATTTTTGAAACAGCAGTCAAAAACATTAAACCTGATACTACTGCATATGAAAACAGTCATACAAATATATTTAATCCCAAAAGTTTTCCAGGACATGCAAGAGGAGGTCTAGCAGATAAGAATTACAAAAACAAGATTTAGAAAAATTATTTGAAAATCTGAAAAGTATCCAAAATATAAACAGAAACTGAAAGAGGGTTTAATTTTTTTAAATTGCAAATGGAAGGAGTATGAATTGTGCACCATGGATTCTTAGCCTGGAGACACTATACAAGCTCCCAGAGCAAAAGCAGCAAACCAAGGGAAAAACTACACCCTGAACAAAATATGACAGAGATCAGAGTTCAGGGCTGGAAAAGTAGATAAAAATGTAATGAGAAAATACTGGTAGTGAAAGAACTACACACACACACACACACACACACACACATTCAGAACATACAATATCCAAAACCCAGACTGACAGCTAAACTATGCACTAGAAAGGAATGAACTACTGATACTGATACTTGCCAATGACAAAGTTGAGTCTCGAGTATTAAGTGAGCCCTGGCAGGCGTAGCTCAGTGGATTGAGCTCAGGCTGCGCGCCAAAGTGTCGCAGGTTCGATTCCCAGTCAGGGCATATGCCTGGGTTGCAGGCCATGGCCCCCAGCAACCGCACATTGATGTTTCTCTCTCTCTCCCTCTTTCTCCCTCCCTTCCCTCTCTAAAAATAAATAAATAAAATCTTTAAAAAAAAAATCAGTGAAGAGCAATGTGTCTTAAAAATGTCATTAAAAAAAGAGTATTAAGTGAAAACAAGTCAGACACAAAAGATTCATACTGTATGACTGCATTTACATGAAATTTAGAAAAGACAAAACTAGTTACAGAAAGCAGACCAGTAGCTGCTACTGCTAGAGGTAAGGAAGAAGGGGACTGGCTCCTAGTTTTCAGAGTGGTGAACGTATTCCACATCTCGATTCTGGTGGTGGTCATATGATGTTACACAGCTGTCAAAATTCATCAAACCATACACTTACAATTGGGGAATTTAATGTACATAAATTATACCAAAAGTTTTTTTAATCTTAAACTTCTCAAGGAGTTTTAGTACTAAAAACTATATCATTAATCTAAAGCTCCTCTATTACTTCCTTTCTGTTCACTGCTTTAGAACCACTAATGAGAGATATCACTAATGGGTGTGCTGTACAAGCAAATAATGTGAAGACTGAAAAAAAAAAGGGGTGGAGCAAAGGAACCACTGGTCAAAGACAACATCCTTGGGAAAGATGAGATCAGGATTAGAAAAAAAATTATTAGTCACTCTAGAAGGGAAGAAAGGAGCAACACAAAAATGCTTCTTAAGGTTATCTATTAAGCAATAGTTACATTCTAAAAGCAGAACTTTACCCTTAATTTCTCTGACTCACAAGCTCTATACCTGCACTATGCAATAGGGTAACCATTAGTTGTATGTTATTGACATTTAATTGACAATAAATAAAAATTAAGTTCTTCAGTTGCATTAGCCACATTTCAAGGCCCAAATAGTCCCATATGGCTAGTGGCTATTATATTAGTGTGGAAAACATTTCCATATGAGAGACAAGTCTACTGGACAGCATCACTCTGTTATCTTCAAGTTTCAAAATAAACTAAGACATCCTAAAAATTAAACAAGGAAGAACATGGAAGAGTAAAGCAGTATTTGGAACTATAAAAAGTTTATAGAAGAGTGATAAAGCTGGAGAAAGGCAGGCTTTAAAGTTGCACAGAACTGAGTTCAAACTCCAATCTCATCAGTTACTAGTGCGCAACCCTCAGTAAATTACTTCCCAGCATCTCCATGGACAAAAATGATATAAAATGAGTATAACACTTTGTCAAGCTATCTCAGAGTTGTTGTAAGGATTAAATGACATGAGAAGTATCTAATACAGTGCCAGGCACATCGCATAAGTATTAGTTCATTATTTTAATTGCAACTAAGCATAAATTCTAGTATGTTGGCTACCTGCTATTAGCAAGTGGCAACTCCTTTCATTTTACAGTTCACACATTTTGGTTAAGATAATTCTAACTGACCATTTCCTTGAATTTTAAAGGCTATAAATGTGTACTAGGATACACAAATAAATGCCTTTTCAAAACAAATTGATACCTATCCATACTTTTAATGAAAGTGTTTATTCTTACCTTGGATGAAATGATCCGGTTATCTATAAATTTCTGAGGTGTATAAAGGCCATTCTGAGGAAACCTGTTGGCTATGTAAATAGTTCTTGTGTCACTTTGATGTGGTGGGTCAAAACCCTAAGATCAATCAAAAAAAAAAAAAAAAAACAATGTGGTCAACGAGGTTAATTGTTACAATTCTTTACATTTGGTTTTATTTAACTACTAAATTATACATTATTGGCCTTGAACTATAGACTCTTTATTCTGAGCAGAGTTAAAGCCACATTTTTTTTTCTTTTACAGGTAAACAGAAACATTATATTCAGATATAAAATTAACTAGGTAATAGCTCTGGTAATGAAAATCAGTCCATACGATCAGAAATGCTACCACAAGAAAAAGAAAAACATTTCATATAGGAGACCTACAGAGGCATTTGAGCATGAGGCTTCTTTCCTTCCCTTTCATTCCTGGAGGTTCCCTGCCTTGCTCCTAGGATGAATTCCTACTTAGCAATGTGGAAGTCCTGAATAAGCAAGACCTACATAACAACCACCACATGTGATGAAGAAGTTTATATTTTACTTCTTCTACACCCAGATCAACTTGGTTTCAAAGAACTTTGCTTTCAGAGGATTTAAAATGTGTTGGGTCTTGCCCCAATTCATTCCATCTCTTTGTGCTAATTACACTATCAACAGACTCCCCGAAATATGGGCATGTTATAATTCTGGCCTCGCATTTAAACAACCATCTCTTAAAGTTCATTTAGTAATGATCTCTACTGGAAAGGTTTTCAGTGATAAGAATACTGATATTTCATTACTATAGTATTGTACTCCTTCCATGTATAGATCCTGGGATCCCCTTGACAGACTAAAAGCAGTCACCAAATGCCAAGACCTTTTCTTAGATCTAACAGGCAATGACTTGTAATTTCTTAGATTTTCTTTTTTTTCCATGGTGGTCAAGGGTTATTTACTAGCACAACTAATTTATTAAAAGGTCAATTAAACTTGGTATTTACAAACTAGAACAATCCATTTTTAAATATTAAGGACTCTAACTTAGTAATTTACTAAGTAACGTGGCTACCATTCAATGCTCAGCATGCCTGTAAAATTTCCATTAAGCACAGACACACAAATAGTGGAAATTTCCACATTACCTAGAGTGATATTTTATTTAGCACATCAGAATATTAACAGTGCAATGTATGGTTTTCAACTGTTGTTATTCTGGTTTTTTAAACATTATTCTGTGATCTTAGAAACAGCTAGTATGGGACTGTGAATTAAATGTATGCTCCATAAAAAACACCTATGAAGTTAAATTTTATTTGTTTATGCTATTTATAGTGATGACCATATTTTGTGGATGTGAATGTGCCATTATGTGTCTGATTTCAAAATCAATTTCTTCAAGGATAAAATGTGGTACATATATTTATTTCCTGTTAAAGATTTTACAGTGTTGCCCTGCAATAACTTATAGGGGGGAAAAAAGGCAGGTCTCAAAATCAGAGTTGAAACTCACTGTTCATTTTAAAGGTACAAGACACTTATTAATTCAACAAATATTTAAACCATACTAATTTAAACCATTACTATGTTAAACCATGAAGGTGTATAGGATTTGTTATACTGTATACTCAAACATATCATAACATGTTCAAATCAATAAAAGAACAAATAGCTTGAATTCTAATGCTGTAGTCTATGGTTTTATTTCTCAAAGGGGGTTCATAAGAAGTTTACTTATAAGGTTCATAAAGTTACAAGAGAAACACACAAGTAATGAGCATTAAATTGCACGAAGTATAACCATTCAGTACCTACTCTAATCATGTTAAATAACACTAAGTTACATACCATGCATGTAAGCTTCTGGGATAAATTAAAGAAAAAACAAACTAAATTTGAAGATCTAAAAGATATATAAATCTTTAACAAGATATCAAGACAACTGATGCTGAGAACCACTGATACAGAATTTTATTTTTTGCAAAATTCCACCAAGAATGGAATTTATTACTATGTTCATCTGAACTTAAGAAACAAAAAAATAAATTAATAAAATGAAAACCCTCCCAAAACATACATACATATACTTATATATACACATATATAATATACATACTACTGCAACATTCAATTCATGACTAGAATGATCAATGATCACATACTCAAGTCTGGGAACTCCTGAGATTTTTCTCAATTATTTTAAGAGGATACACTGAAATGTTCAAAAAATAAAATCAGTCTTCAATTAAATTGAATTTTAAATTCAGCATCACCATATTCCAAGATAACATAATTTAAAATAAGATGACAATTCCAGGAGAGTAAGTTTACCTTAGCCCCAAAGAAGCCATAACATTCACTTATGCATTCTGAGTCTTTTCTGTTGTGATTAATTCACATTATCTCATCCACTCATGCTACAATCAATGACATGTATGTGTGTGTGGATATGTGTATTCTTTTTCACACATAATAAAGTATATATTTGTGACTATAGTATTAAGTACAGCCAAATGCCCCTTACAGAAATTAAACCTATTCAGTTCATTGGCATCATCTTCTCTGCAACAAATTATGTTAGCCATAAACGAAATAAAAATAGAATACAATTGTCCAAAAATAAACAAAGTGACTTATAGCAGGGTCCATAAATGGGCTTTAGGTCTGTGAATCTCTGAACCTGTAGCCAATTTCCATACATGAATTTTTTTCTGATAAAAGCAAGCATAGTTTCCATGATGTAAAGACACTTATAACCATTTACCCAGAAGTCTTGCTTTTGTAATCAGTTCCCAATTTCAATATTCTATATTTTAAAAATGACACAAGAGAATCTTTGTTTCCATAACACCTCTTTTTAACAGGAGTCAAAACAAAATATCTGTTACCAAATTAATTGAATAACTATATTGTTATTGTTAAATTCAAGTATAGTTTCAAACTATTTCTAGCAAGCATTATCAGCAATTCTATGGCACTGAAAAATACAATCTGAACTCCCTAATGACTAGGATACACGCCAGGGTTCAGAAACTTTTGGCACACAGTACATTTTCTGCAGTTATCCCAGACTACCTGTCCACACCCTCAACCTTTTGATGCTTGCCTGCTACTTTCTCCTCAGATCTCATCTTGTCTCAGGCAAAGGAATCAAGACAGGTTAATGCTATTCTAGCCACCTGATGTGGGCTTTGGAAGCACACAATTTTTAATTATTTAAAAATAAAAACTCTCATACCCTAAGAAAGTCTGAAATTCAAAACCTCTTTTGTATTCTGTCTGGATTATGTTATAGCTACAGGTACAAAACAAAGTGGGTATTTAAGTTGGAAAAAAGTCCCATATGGCATTTGGGGGAAGAACTGACAACACACGGGACTCATATGAAAGAGGCTCCTTTTGTAACCACAAACTGATGAGACCTTGGGAAACCAAACAAGTAAATGCTTTATAACTTTTAGAAGTTGGTTTTGGCACAAAACAGTATTTGAAAATGAATCACAACACTTTTACACCAATTATACTAGCTTCTGCGCTATCTTAAAATCCCAAATATTTTATTTAAAAAAAAAGCACAAGCATTACACATAAAAGAGCTAAGCTATTTTAGTTCTATAATTAAATATTGTCACAATTTCTTTAAGAAAAACATCATCTTTAGAGTTCACAGTGATCAAGGCAAATTTGTGCTTCTTATTCTTATATGTAATCTAATTCCTCCATAACAGAAAAAATTTCAAACTTAAAAAACCAAAACCTTCAAAATAACAATAAAAAAAGCTTTAGCCCTGGCTGGCGTGGCTTAGTTGGAGCATCATCCTGTAGACCAAAGGGCCACGGGTTCAGTTCCCAAGGCAACCAAGTCGGGGTTTCTTGCATTGATGTTTCTCTCTCTCTGCAATAAAATAATGTCCTCAGGTGAGGATAAAAAATAAAATAAAATCTAAAAAAAACAAAGAAAAAAGCTTCAGAGTAAAAAAAGCAATAGCATTATCATTAAAACAAATGAACTGAAGCTTTATTTAGGTCACATGCTTTGACCTATCAATTTTTAAAACAGGAAGCCTGCTTTGAAGAATGCCTGAACCAAGAAACTGCTATAAAATAACCACGGCAGCAGCAATAACAAAAACCAACAATCTTGCACCTATCAGGTCTACTTATACAACACAGACAACCTACCTTTCATCTTGACATAATTATAAACATTATAATTAGTCCGTAAGACTCTTGCTTTTATGTAGAATAAAAATGTATACCTTTCCTGTTACGACAGGTACAATGTAATACCAAGCATTTATATTTAGCAAATCAATTTAAATAATACTGTTACTGAAATAATATTTTCAGTATTTTTGAATGATCACATACTTTGCTCTACAGGTTTTCCTACTCACCTACTGTTTCCCGATTGGTTGCTTAAGTGTGATTTCCTATTCTCATTGAGAGAACTATATATAACAGTTCTCTCTTACAGCTTAGAGATTATATGCCTCAAAGTTAAAATTCCTTTTGGGAATAAGCTTAAAGGAAGGAAGGAATGAAGGAAGGAAGGAAGGCAGGAAGGCAGGCAGGCAGGCAGGCAGGCAGGCTGGCTTCCAGGAATCATTTCAGAAATAAAGCTGGTAGGCCCAAATAAAAAAATAGATCAAAGCTCCAAAACAGAACTAAGCAATGAAGAGATAGCCAACCTATCAGATGTAGCATTCAAAACACTGGTATTCAGGACGCTCACAGAAATGGGTGAGTATGGTCACTAAATAGAGGAAAAAGTAAAGGCTATGCAAAGTGAAATAAAGAAAAATGTATAGGGAATCAAAAGTGATGGGAAGGAAACTGGGACTCAAATAACAATTTGGAGAAGGAAGAAATAAACATTCAACCAGAATGGAATAAAGAACAAAATTTCAAGGACTTCTGGCCAAGATGGAGGTGTAGGTAGACACACTGTGCCTCCTCACACAACCAAAATAAGGACAACAACAATTTAAAAACAAAAAACAACCAGAACTGACAGAAAATTGAACTGTATGGAAGTCTAACAACCAAGGAGTTAAAGTTGACACATTCATCCAGACCGGTAGGTGGGGCGGAGTCAGGCAGCCAAGGGGA